TCTCTTCTCTGAATTTTAGTCATTTGGTAATGAATCCACTTTTGCCTAATTGCTTAGAGAAAGTTTCTGCACCTGTAAGATCATGTGTTGCCCTTTATTATAGGATAATTCTGTGATAAAATCTCATCTCTACTGTGTTTGGCAACATGCTATCCACAGAGATTTTGATTCAGACTTATTAAAAAAAGAGTTTCTTCCTTCAGGCGTGAGGTTCAGTAAGCGTTGAGGATTTTAATTCCCCTAAAAGTATTCTGATACTTGACTACTGTGTACCTAGGCCTGTCCAGACAATCAGTGTAAGGAGATTGAAGAACAGAGTGGGAAAGTAAGGTTAAAAAAAAGCCAAAGGAAAATAAAAGAAAAAAAAATAACTAGATAGAAACAATCAAAAAGAGGAAAAGAAATTTTTTATAAAAGGTCAAAATTGAAAACTGCATAGTACACTACACCAGGATACACCTTAGATTTATAATGGCTTCTGAAATTAGCAAGAGAAAGAAAAGGTCTGAGGTGAGAAGAGTTTCAAATTTTTTTTTTTAAATTAAAGATTTAAAGAGAGAGGACAGAGGTCTTTCTACCTATCTGAGTGTTTTGGGGGTCTGGAAGATAGGGTTTGGAGCACAGCTTCCGTCGCTTTGGTCCCTCTGCTGTTACTACTGATAAGTTACGATGTTTTGGAATGAAAAGTTGAAAAGTTCAGAAAAGAAAAGAAAACTAAGATTAAGAACTGATTGATGCCTTACATGCTGGAAATGTCCACATTTGTGGTGGAAGAATTTCAGAGAACTGAAGAACTACACTTTAGGGGAGCAGGTAGGGATAGAGCAAGTCAGGAAGGATATTGTGCCTTTCAGAAAGCAGATTATAGCGATCTGCATAACATTTTCTGCTTGCTGAATTCTCGGCAACATTGAGTTCAATTTTACAAAAAGCGACTTCTGGATCTGTGTATTGAGGGTCTAACCAGTTAATTCATTATACCAGATTAATGTCTCAGTGTCCACTGTGAAAGTGACTATCATGATTCTATATAAAGAAGCAAGTGTTTCCTAACAGTGTCCTACCCAGACCTGGTTTGCCCCTCAATAGCAAACATTTCTCTGTCGATTACCTTTCCACCTGAATGGCTACTCAATCATTGCCCATGCAGGGCTTTCTTGCTTCTTCCTTTGGCAGAGCCAGAGCTGGGGCTGGCGTCCAGTACTGCCCAATCTATGAAGTGTGTGCTTTATGGGAGACTCTACCTATGGTTGGGAAGTGTGTGACGAGCTCACTTACATGATGCCTTCCTTCTGGAGCTCATGCTCTCCTTGGACGCAGACACCTCAAATGATGACTTCAAAATTACCGGGAATCCAGTGGTAGCAGTGTGCTAGGGTGCTGGGAGAGGATGGAAGAGGGGATCTCTTAGTGTGGTTGGGAGGGATGAGGATGACTATGAGAAAGGGGATATCATGTGGACAGGTGGAAACTATGTCTCTCACTGGCAAACCAGAGTATATGGCACTCTAAAATTGAGGGTCAGGAAGCATCCTAGAGTTGATGATGGATTTGATAGTAGAGAAGGCATAGTTTTACTGAAGTTCAAGTCCTGATCTGTCCCTTATTAACTGTGGGAGCATGAATATGTTACTTAGTTTAGTCTCAAGTTTTCTGGTTTGAAGCATCATTCATAAATGTTTGCTCTGAGGGGACTAGCAGTTAGCATAATGGCTATGTTGTTGGACTCCCATGTAGTTGACAGCGGTTCGAGTCCTGGACCTGATGACTTAAAACTCACGCCGGCCGCATGTGCGTGTGTGCCCAAGATCCTGAGAGGAAAATGGAGAAGGGATTGCAGTGTGGCCATCGCCCCTGGGGGGGGTGATTTCTTGCTTTTTGTCTCTGTCTCTTTCTGGTGAGTGCATGTGCCCTATAGCAAAAATCTCAGGAAAAAAAAAAAGGTTGCTCTCAGGATTTCATGAGAAAACAAATCTGAGAAGTTACAGAGATGAATGTCAATTTACCATACTACATTGATAGGAAGTTTAAAAATACAGAGTAGGGATCAGCAGATGGTGCAATGGTTACATCACTGGATTCCCATGTAGTCAACCATGGTTCAAGTCAGGTCCCAGTGACTTAAAACTCATGCTGAGTACATGTGTATGCATATGTGTGCCCAAGTTCCCAAGAGGAGAATGGAGAAGAAGGGATTGTAGCATGGCCATCCCCCTTGGGGATGATTTCTCACTTTCTGTCTCTGTTTCTCTGGAGAGTACATGCTCTCTATAGCAAAGAAAATCTCTCTTAAAAAAATACAAAGTTTATAAGCAATAAAATAAAATTTAATAAAATTCTATTTCACTATTCAGGAAAAAATACACCATTATAGGACCAGCAGTTGGCATAATGGTTATGTTGCTAGACTCCCGCACAGTAGACTGCGGTTCAAGTCCCAGACCCAGTGGCTTAAAACTCACATCAAGCAAGTGTGCATGCATGCTCAAAATCCAGAAAGAAGAATGGAGAAGGGATTGCAGCATGGCTATCTCCCCTGGGGGATGATTTCTTGCTTTCTGTCTCTCTGTCCCTCCAGTGAGCCACATTCCTTATAACAAAAATAATCTCTAAAAAAAAGTAATAGTACTTTTATATGTTTTATTTTTGGATTTTGGTGTATATATATGTTTTTTTAGAAATGCATAATAGGGAACCAGCAGTTAGCGTAATGGCTATGTCGCTGGATTCCCACATAGTCGACCGCGGTTTGCATCTCGGATCCGTTGGCTTAAAATTCATGCTGGGCACATGTGCATGTGTGCCCAAGAGGAGAATGGAGAAGGGATTGCAATGTGACCATCGGGTGATTTCTCGCTTTCTGTCTCTCTGTCTGTCTGGCAAGTGCATGCACCCTGTAGCAAAAACCTCTCCAAAAAAAAAAAAAAATGCATAATATAGGGGTCAAGAGATGGCATAGTGATTAAGGCACTGGACTCCCACATGGTTGACCACAGTTCAAGTCCTGGATCTGGTGGCTTAAAACTCATACCAGGCATGTGTGTGTGTGCATGCCCAAAATCCTCAAAAGAGAATGGAGGAGAAGGGATTACAGCATGGCCCCCTCCCCTGGGAAATGATTTCTCATTTTCTGTCTCTCTGGCAAGCACATACACCCTAAACATCTCTTTAAAAAAAAAAAAAGAAAAGAAAAGAAAAGAAATATATATTTTAGAACAAAATCAGGATTATATAATGTACATACGTGTGTGTCTACAGTTTGTTTCTCACTTTTAATGTTTAACTTTTCATAATGAGCAGTTTCCTATGCCTCTGTCCTTTAAATGTTTTTAAGGACTGTAGAGTATGTCTTAAGGATGTGCCTTAACTTATTTTTCTTAGCATTTAAATTATAGGTAAATAATATGATGAATATCTTTGTATATAAATCCACATTTGAGGCTTTCTTTTTTATGCCAGAGAGCATGTGAACATGAGAAAGGGAGATGAGAGAGAGTGAGAGAGAGAGAGAGAAAACCCTTCAATGAAGCAGTCATCCAGCAATCCTATTTCTTCCAGTTCTCCATCACATCAGGATCCTGAGCACACATGTGCACCTAGTTTGTTTTTCAAGTTCACGAAGCCAGGACTCAAACCCTGTTGGTCGTGTGTAATCCAACTTCTACTGTACAGTGGCTAAGAGTTGTGCTATGGGGTCGTAAACCCTACTGGTTCTCTAAATTAAAAAAAATTATTTATGCATGATACAGTGCTTGTGCATGCATGTGAAAGAGAAAGAGAGAAAGGCACCCCCCGTGGAGTCTGGTTATCCCTCCATGCCCCTCCTCCAGTCCTCTAGCCCATTGGATCCTGGGCAATCAAGCACATGCCTTTCCTGATGCAGGCTGACCTGGTTGGGGATTCAAAATGCTGTGACCATGTGGAATCCAGCTTCTCATGAATAGGGCATTATCATATTAGTGTGCACTTCAGAGCTGGCCCTCTAGATGTTTACTGAAGACGAATGCTTAGAGTAGAATCATTAGGTATAGAATGTGCCTCCTGCACCCCTTACTCCCATTTTTTCCTGAGGATTTCATGAGATGGGATTTCAAGTCCAGGTCCAGACTTGAACCATGGTTGACTACATGGAAGTCCAGTGATGTAACCATTACAACATCTGCTGATCTCTCCTGTGTATTTTTAAACTTTCTATTAACGTAGTATGGTAAATTGACATTCATCTCTGTAACTTTTTAGTATTATTTTTTCAGTGAATAATAGAAATATAATTGCAAGAGCTAGGGAGAAATGTTTAATTTCTCATAGTACTTTATAACTATGGTTGCTTTTTTGGGGGGGGAGGGGGAAGAGTTTTACAAGTCAGGTAAGACTAAGAACCCTAGTGTAGTGTAGTATAGAGGGCATGTGTGCTGTCAGGTTGCAATTCCTCCTGCTCTATCTCCCTATCTTTTGAGGATCTTGTGCATGCACACATACATGCCTGGCAGATGCATTTCTGAAGCCTTCAGGTCTGGTTCTCAAATCGTAGGATTGACCTTGTGGGACCCAGCTGTCTTAACCACCAGGCCATGGAGCTGCCAGGCCAGGATATGCCTCTTCCCTTTTCGTAAAAAATCTTTCGTTATCCATCATCCCATGATCCTTGAGAATGTGTGTACATGTTAGGTTCCTTTGGAAATATCTGTGGACTCCTTTCTTTAAATCAGGTATTTTCCATGAAAACATGTACATTTGAATAGTAGTTGTTGATGTTTGGGATAATTTTATATATCTATTAGTGAGTAGTCTTTCTATAGAGAGTACACGCTTTAATTTTATGCTTACAGAAATTCAGGGAATTGGTACATGGTAAATGTAGTTGGATGGGTATTATGATACTCTGTTGCACAACCAGCACTTTCAGAGAAGAAAACGTGCTTATTTTTACTTGATTGGATAATGAGTTGGTTAATTAAAACAATTCAAGGAGACAAACTTAATTCCAAAATTTTTCATAGGTAATTAAAGCATTGCAGTTAGTAGACCATGCCTTTGGAATGTTGATGGAAGGACTAAAACAACGGAACTTACACAACTGTGTCAATATAATCCTTTTGGCTGACCATGGTATGTTGTTTGTTTTAAGTTGTATTTTACCATTAATTGTATTTTATTGCTTCAGGGATCATACAAAAATAATAGCAATAATTTTATAGTCTATATTGCCAGACCTACAAGCTTTTGTTTGTTTGTTTGTTTTTTTGGAGAGATTTTCACTGTAGGGCGCGTGTGCTCGCCAGACAGACAGAGAGAGACATAGAGACAGAAAGCGAGAAATCACCCCCCAGGGGGGATGGTCCCGCCGCAATCCCTTCTCCATTCTCCTCTCGGGATCTTGGGCACACACACACATGTGCCCGGCGTGAGTCTTAAGCCACCGGGTCCAGGACACGAACCGCGGTCGACTACATGGGAGTCCAGCGACATAGCCATTACGCTAACTGCTGGTTCCCCAGACCTACAAGCTTTTGAAGAAAACAATAAATTTTTTTTTTGGGGGGGAGAGGTTTTTGCTATAGAGTGCGTGCGCTTGCCAGACAGACAGAGACATTAGAGACAGAAATTGAGAAATCACCCCCGGGGTGATGGTAACACCGCAATCCCTTCTCATCCACTCTCCTCTCGGGATCTTGGGCACGCACGCACACGCGCCCGGCTTGAGTTTTAAGCCACGGGTCCGGGATGCGAACCGCGGTAGACTATGTGGGAGTCCAGCGACATAGCCATTACGCTAACTGCTGGTTCCCAAGAAAAGACTAAATTTTGCAGTAAATTGTGAGAACTAATTAAATTTTCTGGTTTAATTATTTTAACATCTCTGAAAATCTATCCATATAGTTTATATTCTGTAAAAATGGAGCAAAGAGTATTTGGTAAGGATGCAGTTAGGTTGTTATTCAACCTACACATTCTTTTTCAGGCCTTTTCAGCCAATGATTCATTCTTGCACATTGGCCGCAATTGACTGTATTGACAAATTTTGCAATACTGTAAATTTTTTTTGAATAGTATGTGTTTGTTTAATACTAACTTTTGTTTATAAAGTTCCCAGCACCTCACATTTCCCTACTTGAGGTTACTCTGCATTTCAGTTAACCTGACAATGAAAGGATGAAACCATAGCCACACCCTCTCCCACTTCACATTGAGTGTATTCACACAGTTTTGAAGTACTTATACATGCCACATTTGCTTTTTTTTATTTTTGAGAGTTTTTTGCCATAGGTCACATGTGCTCACCAGAGAGACAGAGAGAGGCAAAGAGACAGAAAACAAGAAATCACCACCCAGAGGGGATGGCCACGCTGCAATCCCTTCTCTTCTATTCTCCTCTCGGGATCTTGGGCACGCACGCACATGCACCTGGTGTGAGTTTCAGTCACCGGGTCTCAGACTTGAACCATGGTCGGCTACACGGGAGTCTAGCCATTACGCCACTTGCTGGCCCCCACATTTACTTTTTAAGTGCCTGCTCCATGCTAGCAGACATGAACGTTCAGAAGTAGAGGAAACAGACATAAACCTTTTCTAGCCAGAGTATTCAGACATCTTCTTGAGGAGGACATTTAGAGCCAAGCTCTAAGGAACCAGGAATGAGGTGTGAGGAGGAGCGAGAGAGTATCTCCAGAATGTTGGTTTGTATTCTAGAACATCCACGTAATGAGAAATGCAGCAATGCATTTTTAACATTTCTCAAATGGCTCCTCAATGCTTTGCCCTGTTGTACTAAAATAGCTGGATTTTTTTTTTTTTTAATTCAGGAATGGACCAGACTTACTGTGACAAGGTGGAATATATGACAGATTATTTGCCCCAAATAAACTTCTACATGTATCAAGGGCCTGCTGCCCGCATCAGGGCCATTAATATACCTCAGGACTTTTTTAGTTGTAAGTATAAAGATATCTGTATAAATTAAAGAAAAAGAAGGTAAAACTAAAAGTGAATAAACAGAAACCCCTGATTCTGAGAGGCTCGGTGGTCCCTTCTGAGTTCTTGGGAAGACCATGCCGAAATTGATGATAAATTCTTATGTTAAAGTGAGTCTATAAAATCTATGGTAATATCGAATATTGTTAGATATTGATTATTCTTAAATGCTAATATAATTCTTTGTTTGAAATAATTTTTATTTAACTTTACCAGATCATTAGTAATAAGTGATGTCAAATTCACTTGAGTTGTTTGTTTTCTTTTGCAGTTGTTAATTATCATTTGTAATGTGATACTTTTCTTTTTTCCTTTTGAAACAGTTGATTCTGAAGGAATTGTTAGGAACCTCAGTGTAAGTATATAGTCTCCCTAAAATGTATATTTAAATTAATATAGTGACTTTAATCTGGGTTTTGAAAAATTGTATTTCATATTTCTGAGTCTAAGCCACTCATCTTTTTACAAAAGCTCTCCATCAATGCATTAGTTGCTTTTATTTTGGTTGTTATCATTTTGGAGTTGACACCATCACAGGAAATTAGTTTGGGATAATAACACTAATTTCTGGTTTTCTTTTGGGCTGATGTCTCATCCAAAAGGCTATGCTAGTGAGCTTCAGGTAGCATTTTCATTTTTTACGTGACCCCATAAAAGAAAATAGTGACTCACAGGCTCTTGTACATCTTTTTGTACAAATCTGGAGAAATAATGTCTTTATCCCCTAAATACAATAGCAGCTATTTTTGACTGGTTCCCACATCCCAGGTGTACGTAAATGGATAGGGAAAATTCCAGGTAGCATGAAGTGAGGTTCGCTACTGCTAGAGAGAACTGGGGTGTGCTCATTTCAATAGTTACATATTTAAAATATATTCGCAAATAAACCTATTAAATGGAATTTGTGAGTTTGTTATTGCTTGGGATGAGATCACATTTAATTAAGTAGAGGTGGCATATACAGTTAGAGTGAAAACTGTGAGGATGGTGTGTGATGATTAAAGACAAATAGTGGGTTAAGCATGGTTAATAGAATCTCAAGCCCATCACAAGTTTGAAGTAGGAATGACCATTAAAATGAAAAACCTCTTGGGTGTAAATCACTTTTTCTCTCAAACCTTCGAAAAGCTTGATCTTGAGTAAACACGATGGACAATATCGCCCCCTCCTGGGAAAACGTATATATGCAGCCTGTTAAATCAGCATAGTTCGGAATTTCCACAACTTGTGGACTTTCCAAATCCATATATTATTTTCTTTTTGTTTCATCACCTTATGATACATATAGCTGAAGATCTATTTTTGAGGAAAAGTAAATGTCTTTTAATCCAGTAGGGCAAGGATTCAGTGTATCAGGCTTTGGAAGTTATTGCATACCATCACACATAGAGGCTGGGCCTGAAGCTAGAAGGGCCCAAAGAAATAACTACCATTTCCTGAAGTAGCGCATTATTCTCAGGAACATGTTTCAGCAGAAATTCCCAGCAGTGCTGCTTTGTGAGACGAGATTGCATTTATTTGGACGAACGTAAGAGAAAGGATCAACATTTTTTTTTCTCACCTCTGGTGTCTTCATTCAAAATTCTTAAATGCAAAGAATAACACCCCACACTTTCTCACAAGTTGACAGTGTATCCCTAGTTTTCTCTGGATTGACCCTGGCAGACACCAATGAGGAAAGTGATGATCAAGTCATCTGACATCCTTCAGGGCTCTTTAATCTCTCGTATCTTTGAAGAAGCTGCATTATCAGCAGCTGCCATCATGGGTAGAGGTTACAAACATCGTTCTGAGAGGGAAATAATGACAAGTGAAAAAGCAGGAGTCTGGAAAAAAACACCCACATAGGAAGAAGAAAACTGGCAGACAAATGTTTGTAATAAATAATTTTTGTTTTTCTCTTTTGTCCCATACACCTACTCTGCTCTCCCAGTTCTTATAAAATTTATTTAAGACTGTGTTTTCCTAAATATTTTTATTTCATAAAAATTTCTCTTATTTTTTGAGATCATAATGACCCAGACTTGTTCATATATTTGAGATATTGTGGTTTTCAAATACACAAGAAATGACAAAGTAGAACATTTTCATTTCCTCATATTCTTATTTGTATGTTTATCATATTTTTCCTAGTGCTTCACAAAAAAAAGAGGCATGAGGAAGAGAATGGTCCTTTGTAGTTCTGTTTCTTATTTCATTTTTTACATAGATACCAATGTGATTTGCATTTTTACAGTTTTAAAGTGCATCATATTGTTATAGCAGTCATGATTAAAGAGACTTTGTGAGGACTCCATGAATTTTTTACAAATAAGGAGGTGTACTGGGTTTCCATAGCTGTTAACTTGATTTGAAAACTAAGCAAATGTGGATTCTTTAAAAGGTAAATTGAATCAGTTGGGAATAGATTTTGGGGGAAGTATAATTGATTTTTAAAATATCTTTTATCCATACGTAATAATATATGTATACTTTTCATATAGCTTAGGTTAAAAAGTTGTAATTACCACACTAAAACTAGGTTTTATTCGTTTTCTGTGAGGAAAAAAGAGAAGATTTATAGTAACTTAAGATATATACCACAAAATATGGAAATCAGATTTTTAATTGCGATATAATTATTGATGCAACAATAAAATCATGTGACCGTGGAATCTGACCATGTTGATACTAGGTTTAATATTCCTATTTTGCTATATAAGCTTAAATTCTTTTACTTTAAAAACGTGCCCAGCAACTTATCCTAGAAGATGATATTTTTAAATTAGTTTGCACATTTTGTTTCTTCAAGAAATATTTACCTGTTTTTCAGTGCCGAAAAGATGATCAGCATTTTAAACCTTATTTGACTCGTGATCTGCCCAAACGACTACACTACGCTAACAATGTCAGAATCGACAAAGTTCACCTCATGGTGGATCGGCAGTGGCTTGCTGTGAGGTTTGTGTGTCTGTTTACCTCAGAACACTTTATCAAGCATGCTTCATTGAGAATTTACTTAACCTTACTGTTATTGTGATCATGTACTTTTTCCTAGGCAGTGACCTTTTTACCTTTTCCATGCTGTCTAGCACTTTAATGGTTGAAGCTGTTATTTGATTGTTGATCTTAGCATCCTAATCTTCCAGTGTAGGCAAGAATGAGGAAGGAGGCTGAGTGTCCCAGCTACCATCTCAGTGGTTGTGGGACCGGCGTGTTCCTACCTGCCACTGTGCTATTTAGAGCAGCAGAAAACATAAAGATGGCATCAGCTGATTGATGAGATCAATCTTTAAGATCTGTTGCTATAGGGTGTGTGCGCTCACCAGAGAGAGAGAGAGAGAATGGGAGAGGAAAAATGGATCAAGACCCCTGAGGTGGGATGACTACGCTGCAATCACTTTTCTGCAATCACTATTCTCTTCTCGGGATTTTGAACACACACACTCACACACCCCCACACACACACGCATGTGCACGTATACACACACCTGGAGTATTTTTCAAGCTTCTGAGTCTAGGACTCGAACTGCGTGGTTGGCCATGTGGGATCCAACCACCCCAACCACTATGTAACTGGCTGGCCCAAAAGAGTACTTGGGCACGCATGCACATGCACCTGGTGTGAGTATTTTTGTTTCGTTTTGCTTTTGTTTTTTTCTTTAAGAGAGGTTTTGGTACAGGATGATATAGGGTGCATGTGCTCACCAGAGAGAGAGACAGAGAGACAGAAAGTGAGAAATCACCCCTCCCCAGGGAGTATAAACATGTGATAATCCTTTCTCCTCCATTCTCCTCTCAGGATTTTGGGCATCCACGTACACGTACCCAGCATGATTTTTAACCTCTGGGTTCAGGACTTGAACCATGGTCAACTATATGGGAGTCCAGCGACATAGATGTTATGCCATCTGCTGGCCCCCGTCTGGTCTGAGTTTTAAGCCACCAGGTCCGAGGCTCAAACCACAGTCAACTACATGGGAGTCCAGTAAAGTAATTATCACACCATCTGCTGGTCCTATTCCAAAAGAGCACTTTTACAGTTTTAAGGAAAAGCTAATCAACTAGTAGCAACATTTCTTTCTTATTTCTGGTTATGGTTGTAGTTCATGCCGATCACTGAGCGTCTGAAGAATGTAAGTGTGTAGAGAAAGTAAAAGCCACTCTGATTCGTTCCATCCTAAATAATCAATTAGGTCATTGGTTCAACAAATTTTATTGCATGGTTGCTCTGTGTATGCCAAGCTCTGTTTCTGGCATTTTAAGTACACACAGACATGATTCCTGACTTCATGGAGATTACACTCTAGCGGATAAAGCTGATAAAAATAAATACACACTCTCTCATAGCTAAACTAATTATTTCATTCCAGTATTGTTTCCCATGTGTCTAAAGTGGATATAAACAGAATTGAAATCATATGGTATATCTTTTTTTTGGAGAGTTTTTTTTTTCTTTTTTGTTATAGGGCATATATTCTCACCAGAGAGATAGAGAGATACAGAAAGACAGAAAGCAAGAAATCACCCCCCAGGGGGGATGGCCATGCCCCAATCCCATCTTCTTCGTTCTCTCAGGATCTTGGGCATGCATGCACATGTGCCCGGCGTGAGTTTAAGCCACCAGGTCTGGGACTCGAACCGTGGTCGACTACACAAGAGTCCAGTGACATAGCCATTATGCCAACTGCTGGTCCCTCTGCAATATCTTATATGTATGCAACACAGTATCAGGGGAATGCAATGGCTAAAAGACAGATTTGACAAAGACGAGGTGGAAGAAGACAAGGGAGGACCAGCCACAGTAGCACAGGTGGTAGGGCTACATGGGAAGGTTTAGGGGGGTGGATCTTGAGTCGACCTGAGTATGCCAGTGTGCCCATGATCCTGACTGGCTGACTGGAAGACTTGCGGGGAATGGGGAATGAAATAAGATGAGGAGCTGAGAGGTTGGTGGTGTGTTGAGACCTGTATCCCCTTCTCTCATAAAATAAATAAATAAACTAAAAAAAAATGACAACTGAGTTGGGCTCCAGTATACATGTGGGCAAAATGAGGGACATGGGATTTGGCAGAACCTATTATAAAATAATCTGGAAATCCACTGGTTGGCCAGAGAGTTGCAGTTTCACACTGGGCCACTAGATGGCACTGGCCTTTCTCCTTGAGATCAGAGTTTCTTAGCCCTTTGTGTAAGTCAATGGCTATACCGTGACTCGGACAAGGATCTCTAGAGATTTCCCTAAAATATGTGAACAAAATTAAACTTTACTAGGGGCTGTTTGGTGGCACAGCGATAAAAAACGATGATCTTCAGGGCACTCCCAACGGGAAGGTTCCCAGGTAAAGTCCAGAAACCTCACTGAATATGCCAGACATACTCTTGCCTATGATCCAGGACTGGCAACTGAGGGCTGGAGGGGGGACCCTGGTGTCCAGACCCTATTGGGGTTCTGTCTACCCCTCACCCCCAGGTATCGCATGCATAGAGGAACTAAATAAACTTTGAAAAATTAGGCTTTCCAAATATAAAATATGCTATGGTTGATAGGAATTTAGTGTGTAATATATAGAAGGCGCATGTCCAAATGGTGTATATTCTCCAAATAGTCAGTGTTAGGATTATAAGACCGAGGAAATTAGGGTGCACTGGTGCAGAGGGAGAAAGGGTTATAAAATGAGAATACCTTTGAGTAGCACACATTAATACTCAGTCTTGAAGATGAGGTTTTTTCTTCTCTTTCTTTCTTTCTTTTTTTTTTTTTTTAATTTGCCAGAGGGTGCCTGCACTCACCAGAGAGAGATGGAGAAAGTGACAAAGCACTCCCCATGGGGGATGGCCATGCTGCAATCCCTTCTCCTCCATTCCTCCCTATTTTTGAGATTTGGGGCACATGTGCACACCTAGTGTTTTTCAAGTCACTGGGTCAGGGACTCATGCCACGCAGTAGGCTGTGTGAGAGTCAGCCACCTTAACCCAATGCCACCACCTGGCCCAAGTTTTCTGTCTTTTTAAGCAACTAGTAATGAAATGCAAAAAAGAGCAGTACCTAGAATAGTCAAGGCCTGGTTCCCTCCCACCCCCCCTTACCCCAGCTAGTTGTTGAGACCTGGAAAAATTAGTGTCTTAGGGCTTCATTTTTCCTCTTCTATAACACACATTAATGTAGTTTTATTATTCTCTTTCATACAAGGTAAACTAATATACACCAAATGAACATTTGAATATGGCCTTAGCAAGAACACCGAGCAATTTAATCTGATTCAGGCCCAGGTTCACTGTATCTCCAACTCTTAAAACATTTCAGGCTACCTATTTTCTAAGTAAAAGTATGGCGTCTTTGTAATACTGTATCATGTGGTCATTGTAATACTACACATTATTTGCTAACTAAATTAGATCCCTTTTTCCTAGTCATAGCAAATTTCAACGGTTGGTGTCATGGAGTTTCATCCTTCTATCCTTCTTTTGCCTAAAATGTGAGGAAAGTTCAATTATTTGACACTGTAATCGAGGGGCCAGGAGATAGCATAGTGGCTTTGTCGCTACACTCCCACATTACCTACCATGGTTTGAGTCCTGGACCCAGTGGCTTGAAAATCAGGCTGGGCACATATGTGAGCATGCCTAATATCCCAAGAAGAGAATGGAGGAAAAGGGGTTATGGTGAGGCCATTCCCCCAGGGAGGGAGTTGATTTCTCACTTTTCCTGTCACTCTCTCTCCTTATCTCTCTGTCTCTGGTGAGCATACATGCCCTAAAGCAAAAACCTTTTAAAGAAAAGAAATTATAGTTGAGGTATTGTTACTGTATTAGAAAACATAAAAAGTGACCAGCAGATGGCATGATGGTTATGCCGTTGGACTCTCACGTGGCTGACTGTGGTTTGAGTCCCAGACCCAATAGATTGAAACTTACACCAGGCACATATGCACATGTGCCCAATATCCCAAGAACGCCAGGCACATGTGCACGCGTGCCCAACATTCCAAGAGGAGAATGGAGGAAAGGGGATTATGGTATGGTCATTTCCCTTAAAGGGTGATTTTTTGCTTTCTGTCTCTCTGTCTCTCTGGTGAATGCACGTGCCCTATAGTAAAATCTCTCTCCAAAAAAAAAAAAAGAAAAGAAAAGAAAAGAAAAGAAAAGAAAAAAGAAGACATAAATAATAGCTTTTTATTTTGGAATAGTAGCTGACAAATACACCCCAGGTACCTAAAACTAAAGACAACAGACACCGTCTGCCCTAAGGATCTTCTCCCAGATTGGAAGGAAGGTAGTTACAGTCAGATGTGACACCTGCTGCAGTAGAGCCCAGTACAAGGTTCAAGGCAGCACCTTCAGGTGTGGGGGTCAGGGAACATCAGAGAATGCTTGCTGGTGGGGTTGACTTTTGATTTGGATTTTGAAGACTCAGGATGGACTAGTCTAAATGTTACCACACTGCTGGTCTGTCCGATGCTGTCTGCGCATTGTACAGAGGCACCCAGCCAAGGAGGTGAGTGGGAGTGGAAACCTCATCTAATCAGCTCAGCAAGTCCTGCAGGGGGCTGTGTTGGCAGGAGGAAGAGGGCCCCTTTTCTTTTCCAGAGGTGCCATCTGCTTGCCAAGCTTGAGCACTGGCAGGCTGGCACTTCTTTCTCTAAATGCTCTGCCCAGGGAATCTGGGTACCTTTTAAAAGCAGCAGTACTGGAAGCAGGTTTCTGTTTAGAACTAGATTGAAATGATTGTTCATAGCTCCGTATTGCTGGAGCATGGAGTGGGCGAAGCTGCCCTCTGCGTGGAGAACCTTTTCTATCATGACTAAGAAATGCGACTTTGTTCTTGAGGACAACAGGAGACCATGGGTAGATGCAAGGCAGCTTGAGCTGAACATAATGAGCTCTGCCTTTCAGAGAGCTCATTCTAGCTGCCAGCTGGAGGGGATATTTGGTGAGAAACAGGGAGGCCAGGTGGAAAGGTACGTAGTGACCCATTCCTCAGCCTTTTGATAGACCCAAGGGAGGCTGTGAGCATGGGGACTAGCAATGTAGCCCATCACTAGGGAAGGTGTCATGTGAACTGAGGACCCAGGTTCTCCAAGACAGTCTTGGTTCATCACAGCCCTGTCTCACATTTGTGCTGCTTCCGATATGTGTTTCTATCTCTGCCATGATGTTGTTAAAAAGGATCAGTGTGTGTGTGTGTTCTGTGAAAATATTCTGAAGTTTTGAAATGAGTATGACTAATTACTTGCTCAAGTCAGAGGCAGTGAGAATCTATCTCCAGGTGGCGTCAGAAGAGGAAAGGAAGGACAAATAGGAAAGGTATTACAGAGAAAGACGGGACTTGGCAATGAGTGGGTGCCAGGAGGGAAGTGTGTCACTACCCAGCTGTGGTAGAGAAACACAGCCTTGATTCAACTGTATTAATTAGACACAGAGAAGATAATAGAGAACTGCTTCCAAAGATTTCACAAAGTGTTTGGAACTTGAGCTAAATTATGACAGATAAAATCCACTCATCTTTCTCAAATGCAGGCTACCATTTTTCCATGTGTAATTTCCAGAGCAAATCAATGGAAGGCACGGCCATGAGCAGTGAGAACAGCACTGTCTGACGCTTTCACCTGGAAAGCAACAGAAAGAAGAACCTTTTCAAGCAACCTTTTTTTATCTTGTGCTTCTGAAGTTTTATGACATTTATGATAGTTTTTCAGTTGAGCTGGGTTGGGAGATGGAATTATTTAAAAACTAGATTTTTCTAGTAGAAAAATAGAGGAACAATGTTAGGAAATTTTAACAAAGACTTGTGTCATAAGAACTTTTTCTCTTTCTTTTTATTCCTTTCCCCTTTCCTTCCTTCCTTCCTCCTCCTTTTACTTTTTCTTCGTCTTCTTCCTCCTCTTCCTCTTCTCTTCGTCTTCTCCCTTTTTTTCTTCCTCCTTCTCCTCCTCCTCTTCTTCTCTCCTTCTCTTCCTTCTCCTCCTTCTCCTTTTTCTTTTTCTCTTCCTCCTCCTTCTCTTCCTTTTTCAGTTGAGCTGGGTTGGGAGATGGAATTATTTAAAAACTAGATTTTTCTAGTAGAAAAATAGAGGAACAATGTTAGGAAATTTTAACAAAGACTTGTGTCATAAGAACTTTTTCTCTTTCTTTTTATTCCTTTCCCCTTTCCTTCCTTCCTTCCTCCTCCTTTTACTTTTTCTTCGTCTTCTTCCTCCTCTTCCTCTTCTCTTCGTCTTCTCCCTTTTTTTCTTCCTCCTTCTCCTCCTCCTCTTCTTCTCTCCTTCTCTTCTTTTCCTTCTCCTTCTCCTTTTTCTTTTTCTCTTCCTCCTCCTTCTCTTCCTTCTTTTTTTTTTTTTAAATGACACAGGGCATTCATATTTGCCAGTGAGTGAGAATCCCCCCCAACCTCCACATGAAGCACGGTCATGCCCAACCCTTCACCCCTTCTCTGTCCTATTGGGATTTGGAGCGCATGTCCACACGTACCTGAGGTGTTTTCCATGCTATCAGGGCCAGATTCAAGCTGCAGTGAGTCATGTGGGATCTAGGTCCCCATGCACATCACTTCACCACTGTGCTTTGGGGCCAGCCCGAGACCTTTCTGTTGCTGTTGTTTAATGACTACTCTAGCTTTCCACACAGAATTAAACTCTTCATTTTTAAGTTTTAATTTATTTTTACATTTTCCCACATTTACTTTACATATCAAAATTTTAACTCACACTCTATAGTTCTTGAACGTTAGTAAACAACTTTCAAAATATTTCTCATAATTTTGTATAATTTTGTTTGTGACTCAATAACAACAGAAACAGTATGGTTTTAAATATTTTTGAGAAAATATTTACATGTCAGCTACTCAAATAGTTGAAAAGCAAATGCCCAGCACACTAGTCACACATAAACCTTCTCAATTCAGCCCTGCTCAAGTGTATTCTGTGATATACCATCTGCTAGCAAAGATTAGTCTCTTTTTCTTCCCTCAAAGTCTTTCTCAAGATAATCCTCCGGCGTGGTTGCTCTTTTGCAATCTCTACTGATGACAATGCTGGGCTGGAAAAGTCTAGGTTATTGAATGTTATAAATTCTTTCATTTATCTTCTCTGATCCTCTCTGCCAGGCAGAACTATTTATGGTATCAGGCCATCCATCTTTCTAAGAGCTTCTGTTGGCTTAATTGAGATCCACCTTAGTTCCATAATTTTCTAATTAATCTTCATATATGACATTCCAGTCCAAACAAACACACAAAAAAACCTTAATTTTCTCCAGTCAAATAATTCCAGTTATCTTGGGAAACCAAGTATCTATTGCAAAGAGATTAAAACTAGTTTTTAAAACAAATTTTACCCTATACTAACACTTTTATTGAAATTAAGTAAGATAAGGACATACACTGGCATGTTTAGGGGAATGGAAGTTAAACCCCTTAGAGGAAGGCCTTCCCTTGCTTCCCCCCTTCCAGGAACTTCCTTAGCTTCTCTTTTCTTCCCTTTTTTCTGTCTCTACTCTGTAGAGTTGAGTGTGGCCTAGTCAGAGGTGTGACTTATTTTTTATTTTGTTATTTGTTTTTTTTTTTATTTAAACTGAGTGACAGTGAGTTAAAAGTTTTATAAATGTTGATTTTTGTAAGACACTAAATTACTGACTTGTTCTCAGTTGATGCTTCAATGTAAAAACAAACATTGTAACTCTGTGTGTGTGTGTGTGTGTGTGTGTGTGTGTGTGTGTGTGTGTGTGTATTTATTTGCCCTGGGGTGGGAGCTGAGGTAGGGAAGCAAATGTGAGAAACCTTTTAAACCCAACCATTAGAAATAGGAGTCTTTTGTTCCCTTCAGAGACCAAATTTGAAACAGTTTAACATTATTGCTTGAAAATAATCTAGGTTCATTTATTGCTATTTTTTCCCAAGTATGAAAACTAACTATGTGTAAAATTGCTAACACTGCTCAATTCAAAGATTAAAATACAAAAAGATAAGCAAAAGACTAATTACTTAAATTCTAAAAGTTATTTGAGTAATGGAACAACAGCCTATGGAAGAAAAATTCAGTAAGTTAAAAATATATAAATTCTTACCAAGTGTTATTGTGAATAACTTGCCCTGAGTAGTTTTTACTCATGCTATTATTTCCCTAGACATCTCCACTATACAATAGGAATCAATATTTTTCCAGGTTCCAAAGATGTATTGCTAATGCCGTGAAATGCTTAAAGTAACATATTGATCAAAGCTTTTTTTAAGATTTTGAATTCTATTTGTAGTCCCTGGAAACCTCCTTCTATCTCTTCAGTCATTTTATTTGCTCCTTTGTGGTCTGAATTTGAACATGAAAATAAAAAATATACTATTGTTGACAGAAAATTTACTTATATAAGAGCAGAAACCAATAGAAAAATTTATTAAAGCTTGGTCTATTATAAAGTGTCCTATCAATCTACTGACTAGGGTATTATTGTATTTTTCTCTTTATAGGAGCAGAACAAATATATTCTGTGGAGGAGGCAACCATGGTTATAACAATGAGTTTAAGAGCATGGAGGTAACATACTGCCTTTTGAAAAACTGATATCTCTTAAGCACACCTTTGTGACAGGCAGTGTTCAAGACTCTTGAATATATCTGTGAACAAAACAGATAAAGATCCCTGCCCTCACAAAGCTTTCATTCTAAGAGAAGGTTATAGATGATAAGCAAAATAGAGGAATGTATGATTTAGTGTTAGGTAATAAATACTATGGGAATCAAGTAAGTGGGAAATTGGAAATGTGTTAGGGTGCCAGGAGATCAATATGCTCCTTTAAACAGGGTGGAAGAGGTGAGAGCCATTGAAATGACATTTGAGCAGAGACTTGAGGAGGTGACGGAATTAGCCTTTCAAATACTCAGGGAACTAGTGTCTCAAGGGAAGAAACAGCGAATACAGTGGCCCTATGCCAGGCGTGTGCCTGATGGGTCGGGGTAGAGGGCTTTGGTAAGCTGCTGGAAGGATATTGGAAGATGGCTGCTGCTTACACGTAGGGAGAAAGGGGGAGAAGACAAATTAGACATGTTAAGTTTAAAATGCTAGGCATGCAGGCAGAAATGTCTACTAGTAGTAATTAAAGAAGAGTCTGTCCTCGACATAACACATTGAAATAGGCATAGAAATGGTTTAGCACGTGCAAAGATGCAAAAATCCCTGAACAGATCCTTAGGGATTGAGTGTAGGTAGAGAAGAAAAAGTATTAAATGTGGGGTGTTTTTACTTGAAGAGGTTGGGGAGAAAAAATTACTAGCAAAGAGACCTAGAAGTAGACTCTCCAATAAGGTGGAAAGAAAACCGATAATTTGTGGTATTCTGAAGCCCGGAGGAAAATAATGTGGAGAAGTCTATTAGTAAAATAGAGCTCAGATTCTCCTGTAGGTAAAGCTTTGTGATTCGTGTAACCTGATTATTCTATCTAGTTCCATTTATAGTACACACGCATGCACACGCGCACACACACACGCACACACAGTTTTCCAAATAGAAAAGGATGCGTTAGTTTCTTTATGGATATACTCTCCCTTAACATTGCCATGGTGAGCTATATCTCTTTGTAAATTTTTAAAAAAATATCTCTGCAGACAGAACTTTTCTATTAATTGTGGTACTCTTTGATCATTAAATCTAACACTGGAAGAAAAACCTATGCCTCCAACTCTTGGCTGGTTATCTTACACAAAACATACATGTTCCTGTTAGCAGAAAGAATGGCTTATTTAGGTTTAACACTTTTCTTCCAGTTACTTACAATATAAAATTAGATATATTATGAGTAATATAATTAATAAATAACTATGCATACAAATATTGAGGAATCTTCAAAGAACGCAAGAGGGAGAGGTTTTTGGGAAATAAGAGGGTTAGAAAGTTGTACAAAACTATAATGCTTAAAAATCTACACTTTAAAAATCATGAACTACTATATTTGAGCAATGATATAAAAGAACTATGGGAAGAATATGTGGTAGTCTGTGATCAATTTCTAATATATATTGTCTGGATAGTGTAGAATTACGCTGCTATTGGTTGTCGACTGTGGCTTGTATTCTTCTAGTCTGTTGGTTTATGAGGTGTATGGATGCAGATGGGATTGGTGAAGTAAATGGACAATGGATTATATTTGACTGAGATTACTACAACATCACAGGTGGAAATGATTTAAAAATCATTTTAAAATCTGAATAAAAGATCTTTACAGACACTTAAGATCCCAATAGGAGAGTTGTTGTAGAAGGGAAATTTTATTTCTCTTTTAGAGAAATAAAATTTCCTTTCTTGCTGAGAGTCTCTGAAAAATTACCAACAACTGGCAAATTAATATGAGAAAAATCATATGAATTTATTTTAACATATTCATATATACACAGGAGCCCGGAGAAGAGATTAACTCATAGAAAGAACAGAAGGTGGTGGCTTAAAGTCACTTCATAGGAGAGACTTAAATGAGGAAGCAGGCAAATTCTAGAGTGAATGTTTTTAGGGGGAAAGAAGAGACAAAGGTGAGTGAAAAATCGTCACTGGGAGCTGAATCGGCCTGGGAGACGGACATTTCTTAATCTTCCTTTCTGCAGTATGAGTGCAGTAACTGAAAACTTAGAAAAAGGATCAAAGGTGATTGTTTTCTGTTTTGGTGGGTCTAGTCTACTGGCTGATAAGGGAAAATCAGACTACAGTTCTTCCCTGAACTTTGGAGAGAAAGAGGGTTAAAGAGGATAAGGACAAGGGGATGGGGGAGGTCGGAGAGACTTCCATTCCAAGGCCTTTCAGTGTGTGCAAGTGGTAATGCTTTCTTTGTGGTATTGTTTCTGAGGCCCACACTCCCTGCATTTCTTCCCAAGTTTAGATGATGTCTAGTAATAATATGGCTATTACACCTAGGCTATATTTTTGGCACATGGACCCAGTTTTAAAGAGAAGATTGAAGTTGAACCATTTGAAAACATTGAGATCTATAACCTACTGTGTGGTGAGTATATTTAAATCATTGGCACAATGTGAATTGTTTTAAATATATGTAATTGGGAATTGGGAGTAAATTATATTCTAAAGGCTGAATGCTCTGCATTAAGAAGACAAAAGGAAGACTATTTATTACTTATAGTTATTCATCTGTAAGAATGAATTTTTTTTACAGTAATGAAAAAGCTTAGATCTCTGACAAAGCCTTTCTATTAATCAGTTACTATACAATAATTTAATTTAATAAAACTTAGATAAATAACACTTCCAAGTTTTTAAAAGAATTATTCATTTAATTTAATTTGTTGCTATTATTATTATTATTATTATTATTATTATTTAATTTGACAAGAGAGAGACATAGAGAGAGAAAAGAAAAGTGAGAAAGCAAGCCACCAGGTCTGGGGCTTGAAATGTGATTGGCCATGTTCCCCAATCGCCATGCTGTTAGCCCCAACACTTTGAAGCAGGATAAACACACTTAAACACTTAAGTATTCTCTTATAATTACAGAGAGAAAGCCCCTGACATAAAAAGAGGGTCAATAAAGTCATTTTTGGGTAATTACTTACTATACTTAATGTTGAAAAAAAAATCTTAATTAGGCCTTGAGGGGGCCTAACCTACCTTTCTACTTAGGCATGCTTGCCCAAAACCATTGTATGAGAGGTTCTTCAAAAAGTTCACTAAAAAGTGTATATTATAAAAGAACTAGACATAGATTTCAAACTTTTTGAGCTAAAATAAACTCGCACTTTCATTTCGGTTCTCCACAAACTGTTTGAGGTCCTTCATATTAAGTAACTTACCTAGGCAAGGCGATGCATAAGCTGCAATTCACTGTGAGCTTCAGGAAGTGGGACAGAAATGTTTTGTCTCTCTTCATCTTGCCACTGGCTGGTGGTAATTAAAGGTGACTTAGAGATCAAAACATACACATTAAAAAATAATGTACTGTAATCTTAAAAACTTAAATTCTTGGTTCCTATGGCTGTGTTTGTGGTCAGGGCTACTAGCCTTTTACAGAGGTGAGGAGAAACTAGACAGGATTTCGGTTGCAGGCAAGATCTATGAGGTAGTGGTCAGCAGAAGCCATTTAAAGGCTTTGTATAGAAATGTAAAGAAATTCTCTAAATGTTAAGAAAAATTCATTACTTTAGTTTTTTGAAAGTATTTGTCATTAGAGAATTTCATATAATTAAACAAATAGACTACATGTAAGACTAATTTAACTTCATTAAACTTATTTTTATTAAGAATGCATCTTTTGGGACCAGCAGTTGACATAATGGCTATGTCAGCAGATTCCCATGTAGTTGACCGTGGTTTGAGTCCTGGACATGGTGGCTTAAACTCACGCTGGGTGTGTATGTGTGCATGCCCAAGATCCCAAGAGGAGAATAGAGGAGAAGGGATTGTGGCATGGTCATCCCCACTGGGGGGTGATTTCTCGCTTTCTGTCTCTCTGTCTCTCTCTTTCTTTCTTTCTTTCTTTCTGGCAAGCACATGCGCCCTATAGCAAAAACCTCTCCAATATAAAAAATAAAAAAAAGAATGCATATTTTTATGCTAAAAGATGATGATAACTATGATATGCGTGAGGAACAATTAATTAAGATCAGATCAGCAGGTAGTGTAATGGCTATGTCACTGAACTCTCACGTAGCTGACCACAGTTCAAGTCTGGGTCCCTGTGGCTTGAAACTCATGCTGGGCGTGTGTGTGAATGTGTGACTACGATCCCAAGAGGAGAATGGAGGAGAAGGGATTGTGATGTGGCCATCCCTCCTAGGGGTTATTTCTTACTTTCTGTCTCTCTGTCTCTTTCTGTCCCTCTGGCAAGTGCATGCACCCCTTTAGCAAAAAAAAAAAAAAATAAATAAAGGAAAAAAATGATCAATTAAGCAAGGAAGAATACACACGTTGCATGAAAGTTTAGGTGACTCATCTGCCAGGATAGTTTTTATTCTGTAGATAAACTATCTATGGGAACTATGGGAGAAGAAATCAGTAACCAAATGACATACGTACTACACGACTACATTGCAGCAGAATTTATTAAGGAAGTGAAACAGTAGGTGTTTGTGTTTTCCCATCTCCTACATAAACCTGTTGCTTTTCAAGTTAATTCTACTTTTTAAAAGAGTTTTATTCATTTATTCCATGAGCGAGAAAGACAAAGAGAGTGAGAAAAAGAAAAGAGAGAGGTAGAGTGAGTCAGCTTCCTTGACAAGTTCTTGATGCCACGACCCACCACCAGACTAAGCCACCCCTAGGTCAAAGGTCCATGTGCCCAGCATACCCAGGGAGGTCTCTACGAAGGAACCAGCAGCCTTCCCATGTGAGTGAGTTTGTCTCACAGAGCATCGAGTTCTACCACTGAGTCACTGTCTGGCGTCAATTTAAATATATTTTGAACTATTTTTTTTAAAACAGATCTTCTACACATCCAACCAGCACCAAACAATGGTACCCATGGAAGTTTAAACCATCTTCTAAAGGTGCCTTTTTATGAGCCAAGCCATGAAAAGGAAGTGTCACAGCTTTCTGATTGTAGCTTTACTGATCCACTGCCCGAAGATAATCTAGACTGTTCATGTCCTCAGTTACAAGATGTAAGTAACAACTTCATGCAACAGTAAGAATGGAGGGGTGAGCTAATCTGTAACCAGGGCAGCTGACAACCAGGTTTGTGCTCTCATTTTGATACGTCTTCAGCAGATGTATGTGGTTTCTCTCAACAGTCTCTGGAAATGAGAGATTATATTACACACAGTATAAAATTGACCATGTAAATATACTTCGTAAACTGGAAAGCACTATTTAAAAAACAATGATAAATTTCATTATGAGCTAATTTTCCTTTGCCATTCAAAATACTAATCTTGGAGCTCTTTTTGATTTTTCTTCATAAACCATTCTTACAGTTTAAGAATCAGGTGGTCACGTTCGGATATTTAGAGCAAAAAGAATTTGCAGGGTGTAGAGGCTTAACCTGACATTAGATACAGCAACTAGGGTACATGCTGTGGGATAATCCTGTGGGCAACAATGGAGAATTTCTACCAGGCTACACTTGGGAGCCAGCTGCCAGATGGTCCCCTCTATGAAGGTCACTTCAGCAGGGTGTACCTCGGGCTGAGTTCAGGAGCAAGACTTCAGATCCCAGAAGACTCATGTGGTCACTACACATGGTATCCTTGCACTGAGAAATCACTCTGGACCCCATAAATATGTATTGGTTATATATCAGGTTCTCAGAAAAGCCATGCCATGTTTTTCTGGTTTTCTATGCAAAAATGTGTCATGACTTTTCTGACAACCTGATGTAATTATTATGTCTCAATAAAAAATGCATAAATGATTTTTAAAGATTTATTTAATAATTTTATTTTTATTATGCTGATTATTATTATTTTTAAATGTGATATAGGGCACATGTGCTCATGAGAGACAGAGAGAAAAAGCAAGTCACCAGGTCCAGGACTCGGACTGCAGACAGCCATGTGATAGTCCAGTGCCTTAACCACTATGCCATCTGTTTTAAAAAAATGTAGTCCTATGAAAAGTATCTGCATCACTTGCAAACTGGTGAGAGATGCACAGTCTGAGGCTCTATCCCAGGTTTACTGAATCAGAAGCTGCATTTTCACAAAACGTTCACACAAACTTGTGCACATTTGAGGAAAGCCTTAGAAAGGCTGTGAAACTAGGTGACTCACCTCACCTCTCCGTGCTCAGTCCTTTTTGTCTGTAACTATACTTACCTCATGTAGTTATAATGATTTAAAAAATGGATTTAGGCAAAGAATTTACACTAGTGCCTGGCCTATAGCAAAATTATTACCTACTAAGTCTTAAGCATTATCGATTAAATCATTATTGTCTCAGTTTCATCTTTTATCAAATGGGGATACCTAATTTATAAGCTCAAAGTTTGAGATACTCTGGGGTGTTGTTATCCCAACTCAGTAGGTTTTTTCAGCTAGAGTCAGAATTCTTTTCTCTAATATGAAATGCAGCTTTGCAAACTCCCTCACCAAAAAAAGAACAAAAAATGGATGTGGGGGAATAGTAGCTCTGTATTTCTGCTTAGTGGCAGAACTGGCTTGTTAGATAGTAAAAGCTTCATGTGATTGCCCTAGAGATAGTCTCAATCATGCTTCGGCACATGTGTTTTTACTTTCATTTTCTTTCTCCCCTCGTCTCCCACCCCACTATTTTGCAGGAGAATCTTCTCAAACAAGTGAATCAAATGCTAAATCTCACCCAAGAAGAGAGTAAGTCAATCAATAGAAAGCATATTAAGTCTTTGATGTTTAAACCTAACAAAATAGAGCATTGCCTTTTTGGGATTCTCCAATATAATCTCACAGAGGCTTTTGAATATAAAGATTTCATTGCTGATATATAGAGGGGAAAACTACAGGAGATCCAGTAATGAGCATGAAGGTAGATTACAATGGTCCCAGGAATGTAAAATACTCCTTGACGTGGTTGTGCCTCATCTACAGTTTCCTATTCCCTTTTTTGATATAAACAGACAAAAATGCCTTAGTTTGAGTCTTCTCTCTGCTGCTTGCTGGCTGTGTAACCTGGGATGTTGTAAGAATGAAAAGAGGCTAAATATGTAAAATATCTTACAGAATATTTGACACATAATGTGCCATAAAAGAGATGACTACATGTATAGAAGCATTTGCTAATATCGTGAATATTTTTATTGTGTTATTTTAATTTTAGTAACAGCAACAGTGAAAGTAAATGTGCCATTTGGGAGACCCAGGGTTATACAGAAGAACCAGGATCACTGTCTCCTTTACCATAGGGAATATGTGAGTGGGTTTGGGAAAGCTATGAAGATGCCCCTGTGGAGCTCATACACAGTTCCCAAGCCTACGGTAAGTTCCTGAATTCATTTATTCATGCAGGCTGGGAAAAAAAAAAGAAGTTTAATTCTTTAATAGTGGGGGAGAGTTGAATTTTGTTTTGCAGTCGAGATCTTAAAGGGAGCTAGATCATTGGCCTGAGGCCTGTGAGACAATGTTCCAGGTATTACAAAAAGGTTTTTATTGGTGTTGTATGAGTCTAAAAAATGAATACATTATATTTTGCCCAGAGAAATTAGAAAGTGTTATCAGGCCAATTGACCAGTTGGTAAGGCAGGTAGAAAAGAACATTTTAAATGGAAGCAAAAGGAAATACAGAGGCACACTATTCAATTGGTATTCCCCATGTACACAGTGGGTACACCTAGAAGGTGGTGGTAAGTAGAGTAAAGGGCTTTGTATTTCCTTGATTATTTTAAAAGATCTTTACTATTTGCTGTGAGCTGTGACGGGCACAAGGAACATAAAGAGAATAAGACGTAATTCTTCCCTGAATGATCTAGCACTCCAATATGTCAGGTTAGATATACATATATGGATGTGTTTTGTCACAGATCTCTCCAGGCTGGGGTTCAGAAATCACTTATATAATTCTCCGCTCTGTTTACTATCTGACAAACTCCCATTCATGAAATGGTGCTGGGACAATTGACAACTCTTCAGGAAGAGATCCCTGTCTCACACCATACTCAGAGTTAAGTTGCTGGTGGAATATGAACAGCAAATCCACATTTTTTCTTTGTGCATTTTTTTTTGACCATGGGTTAAAGAAGAATTTCTTAGGACACAGAACAACAACAAAAAAACACAGAGGGAATTGACTAGTTTGATTACATTAATATTAATGTGTGACAAGAAGGCAAAGTTGAGAATGGGACAATATATTTGCATTGCATGTAAGAAGCAAGTGTTGAGTCTTCAGAATAGTAATTAGGATTTGGAATAGCTAATAAATTTCTACCAATAAACAAGAGAATGACAGTGTCTTAGTTAATAAATGGAGAAAGGATCTGAGCCAAGCAATTGAACCTCATTAGGAATCAGAGAAACGTAAATGAAGGCAAAACTTAACGTCTGCCAAAAATCAGTCCAAACACTCCTTCGGGGCAGGGATGGTTCTATTTAATGTATCCCTAGCACAATAGAACTGTCCAGTAAGTGCCTATTGAATGGACCGCATTGGATTAATTAATCCCAACCATTATTTTAAAAGACTTTTAAAGACAAAGTTGTTCTGCCCACACAAAGAGTACATAAATAATCAGGAAGCTGATTTTCATAGAGAAACTGTTTGCTGAGATCACCTCTTTCATGGAAAGGAAGTAATTGGTTATATCCGGTTTATCTACTTTTTCTTGTCCCCATTCAAGACTTTTAGAGAAAAATAACCATATTTTCCCACTAGTAATGAAAACTTCCTGTGTTCTGAAAGCCAGCTCCGTTGCTGACAACGGTTCAATTGTGGTCACTGCTAACAAACTACTAATGTTCGTATTCTGGTGTGGGCAAATATTTTACAAAGTTACCCAAGTTGGTAGGCACAAGGGTACTTGACCATTTGTTAAGAGATGGGATTAAACAGTGAGTTCATAATGGAACTTAAAATAATTTTGAAATCAATGTATAGTTTTCTCATAATATGCATTTCCCATGAACTTTTTGAAAATCCCTTATATGGGGGATGGCAACATTACTCTCTTAATATGCACACTGCTCAGTTGTTTGTGATTTTTTTTCAACATACTCCATTCTCATAATAAATCTCTATTTGTGTGTGTGAGTGTGTGTGTGTGTGTTTTTGAGAGGGGCAGTATATTCAAGGTCAGTTTTATTATTCAGTTCTGTTTTGAAAAGTCCAGGTACTAGGGATTATGTGGAGCCAAAGAGAATGTTTATGTTTTTAATACTTTCCCCTGCTGTCTTGCATTCCTGAATTTATATGAGTTTTGGCGGAAACCAAAGGCGGAGGGATTTTAAGTGGGCTCAGACTAGGAGTTTAGTACAATTCTTCTTTGTTATTGTTTTAAAACTAGCTTCTTTGTTACCGAAAGTTCCTGTCCTTTCACTGATCCCACAGAACGACTTGTGTATTTCTCTCTCCATGTGACAGGATGGAATTCTAGCAATTTTCTGCTTTCTAATTCAGAAATTACTCTGTTAGTGTGTTGTGGTTCAAGAAAATTACATACAAGGATGTTTTGAGATTCACATAAAAATGTTGTAAATCAGCTCTGTGTTTGAAAAATCAGACTTTAAATAAGCACTTTTTAGAACATGGACCCAATTGGTCTGTGCCTTTAAGTTTTATAGAGCTTTTGTTTTTCTGTGGTTTTGGTGGGTTTTCTAATTTTTGTTATTGTTATTATCTTAGAAAAGTTCTCGGGAAGTAGTTGTGATTTGAAATCATGGTCTTACAACAACTGCTTCAAAACCATTAGGGTTGGTCAGGCTGTATATGGGTTGTTTCTGAGCCTGCCCGGTAGCAATGTGGACACTGCTTTTTTTGTTGCTAGGTGAAAATTTGAAAATAAGACCAAGAAGTGTGATTCTTGTTTAGAATAGAAACTTCAAAATATAATATAAAATCAAAGGACTCTTTTGGAATAGAAAAATCTAGCAATTTAAAAAAAACTCTCTCTCTCTCGCTATGTGTGTGTATATATATATATATATATATATGCGTATATTGCTCATATTATTGGTTTTATAAAAAAGCCTTTTTTGTGGTTTCTAAAACTTATCTGTCATAATACAAATTATGAGCTAATCATGTTTTGTGAGTCTTTAAAAATAAGCCATTTGTGGTGGCGAGCACCTGTAGTTCCAGCTACTTGGGAGGCTGAGAGAGGAAGATCAAGAGTTTGAGGGAGACATGATTGTGTGTTACCAACATTTTCTGAACTATGATAAATCATTTTCTCTGTAGAGAAAAAATAATCACATGATCAGACAAATAAAAATGTATATATGAGGTCATTGGAAAAGTCATGATGGATTTTCGCATAGAAAAAAACAGAAAAATACGTCCTGAATTTTCAAACGACCCGGTAGTTAATTGTTCTTACCAGAAGATAAGAGCAAAGCTATCTAACCTTCAAATAAATAAGTTTTAGCTTTTGCTTTTAGTCCACAGAAAGGAACATCTATCACTTCCATAAAAAGAATTGTATCTTCTGTTTAAGTTTTCTTTTGTCGCCACGCCAGACAAGAAGTGAAAGCATCTCACTTTCCTGTCTGTGCTCATCATCTGCTCTTTGGACGATTTTGAGAGGTAGCATTTAGACTTTCTATGAGTGAGTTGTGTTTGTTTTCCTGACTTTCTATTCCCTGACTTCAAAGATCCCAGAAAACTCTAAAGGGATGGCGGGTTTGAAGCTGTTTACGTGTGTGTGTGTGTGTGTGTGTGTGTGTGTGTGTGTGTGGGTGGGTGTTGGGGTGGGGGAAGGCTGGCTTTCCCCCAGGAGAGCAGGGCTCAGACATGATGTGGCTGTGCTCCCTTCCATCCCTCTGGAGTGCTGCCTATTGTATAATTCTGCCTTTCTAAAGGAGGCCACATCCTGTCTTTCTACTCTTGATCTACTTCTGTTTGGGGATTCATGTTTCATAGGTAAGAAATAAATCCCAAGATTTTCAGTTAGAAGAAAATCTGAAAGTTTTTTCAGTACTTTCTGGACAAAGCTATCCTAGTCCATTACCCCTGACCCAGTTTATGCCTCTTTAAGAAAATGGCAAACATGTTACCCAACTAAATTGTTGGGGCACAACTTTTACAGCCACAGTCTTACTAAAAATTACAGTAACCTGCCCTCCTTACCATTTGTCTAATTTTAACACTTGAATATAGACATTTTAATTTTCTTACATTGTGGAAAGTATATCTATGGGTACATTTATGTATTGTGTATTTCTTTAAGTAAAACTTACTAATGTGGAACATGAGAGTAATGTGATAAAGATACAGGGAATATCAAACTCAGTATATTCCAGGTGTTTATGGAGCTGATCCAGAGAAAATTGATAACCTTCATTCGTTCATTTTCCAAAACACTCAACGTGCCCCTTTATATTAATTGATGAAAACTGGCCACTTAGAACTGTTTTCTATATATTTTTAAAAGAATAATAAACAAGGCTTTTTAGCTTTCCAAATTCTGCCACCTGAAGGAGAATGAAATGAATGGTGAGAACTAATTCAATGCAGTAAATACAAATATCTTTATATTCCTTCGTTTACTTCTTGTTTGGGCAGACTGTATCACTCAGGAGTTTCCTGAAAAAAGGAAAGATCCAGTTTTTATTTTGTTTTCATGGTATAGAGCACATGCGCACACACATAAAACAGAGAAGCACCATCACAGTTCCATCAACACAGGAGCACCATCAACACAGTAGGGCCATACATAGTACCCTCCTCTCACCTGCCAGGATTTGGGCACATATACTTGTCCAGCACGTCAGTTCAACTGTGCTGAGGATTTTAACCTTCAGTGGGCCAGGTGGCTTCCAGCACTGCAGCTCAGTGTGCCATAGACTGCACCACCAGATTGAGTTGGAAAATATATGTAGAAACATACATACATATTTAATTTTTTTCCATAGGGCAGGTGTACTCCCCAGAGATAGACAGAGAGGAAAAGTGAGAAATCAAATCCCCTCCCAGGGATCATGGCCATGCCAAAAATCCATTCTCCTTTTCTGATCTTGGGCACACATGCATACACGCCCAGCACAACTCAGGCCGTCAGGTCCAGGACTCACACCACGGAGAATGGCTATGTGGGATCCAGTGCCTTAACCTCCTTTCCACCTGCTGGCTTATTTTTGAGACTTTGCTTACCTTGAGATGTTTTTATTTCTTCTATACACTCTATTAGTGGTTTAGCTGGCTTTAGAATTTTAGCACTAATTTTTCATCTAAATTAATGGGATACTAGCCTTTTTGGACTGACCCTCTAACATGGGGTTACCTAACCCCTGGGTTACAAACTGGTACCAGTCTGTGGCCTATTAGGAACAAACTGTACAGCAAGAGGTGAGTGTCAGGTGATAAGAAAAGCTTCATCTGTATTTACAGCCACTCCCCATTGCATGCATTACTGCCCAATCCCTGTCTCCTGTCAGATGAGCAGTGGCATTAGATTCTCACAGGAGTGAAAATCCTATTGTGAATTGTGCATGTGTGAGGGATCCGGGCTGCATGTTCCTTACTAGAATCTAATGCCTGATGATCTGAAGTGGAGCTGAAGTGGTGATGCTAGTGCTGGGGAATATTGAATAACATTAGCAAAGAGGTTTGACTGCACAGAGACCATAATAAATCAATCACTTGCAGACTCATCAAAGTCTGTTTTTATTTTATTTTATTTTATTTTATTTTATTTTATTTTTTTTGTGATAGAAAGAAAAAGAGGAGGGTATTTTCCATAGCATTTCACTGTGCCATAATCCTCTCGCCCCAACAATCCACTTAGCTCAGATTATAGGAGGGCACACTGTTCTTACCATGATTATGCTGTTCCAAGATCCAAATGCAGACCTTCCATGTGGCTTCAGCATCACATAGCAGTGCCCTGCCACCTGAGCTACTACGGCTGACCCCCACCCCTTTTTATTGCTTCGTATTCTTCTTTTATGGATACCATATATATCTCTCACCTTTCTGAGAAGAGCATTCTCACTTGCTCTCTGCATGGCGTTGTTGAATATAGACATTTTAATTTTCTTACATTGTGGAAAGTATATCTATGGGTACATTTATGTATTGTGTATTTCTTTAAGTAAAACTTACTAATGTGGAACATGAGAGTAATGTGATAAAGATACAGGGAATATCAAACTCAGTATATTCCAGGTGTTTATGGAGCTGATCCAGAGAAAATTGATAACCTTCATTCGTTCATTTTCCAAAACACTCAACGTGCCCCTTTATATTAATTGATGAAAACTGGCCACTCAGAACTGTTTTCTATATATTTTTAAAAGAATAATAAACAAGGCTTTTTAGCTTTCCAAATTCTGCCACCTGAAGGAGAATGAAATGAATGGTGAGAACTAATTCAATGCAGTAAATACAAATATCTTTATATTCCTTCGTTTACTTCTTGTTTGGGCAGACTGTATCACTCAGGAGTTTCCTGAAAAAAGGAAAGATCCAGTTTTTATTTTGTTTTCATGGTATAGAGCACATGCGCACACACATAAAACAGAGAAGCACCATCACAGTTCCATCAACACAGGAGCACCATCAACACAGTAGGGCCATACATAGTACCCTCCTCTCACCTGCCAGGATCTTGGGCACATATACTTGTCCAGCACGTCAGTTCAACTGTGCTGAGGATTTTAACCTTCAGTGGGCCAGGTGGCTTCCAGCACTGCAGCTCAGTGTGCCATAGACTGCACCACCAGATTGAGTTGGAAAATATATGTAGAAACATACATACATATTTAATTTTTTTCCATAGGGCAGGTGTACTCCCCAGAGATAGACAGAGAGGAAAAGTGAGAAATCAAATCCCCTCCCAGGGATCATGGCCATGCCAAAAATCCATTCTCCTTTTCTGATCTTGGGCACACATGCATACACGCCCAGCACAACTCAGGCCGTCAGGTCCAGGACTCACACCACGGAGAATGGCTATGTGGGATCCAGTGCCTTAACCTCCTTTCCACCTGCTGGCTTATTTTTGAGACTTTGCTTACCTTGAGATGTTTTTATTTCTTCTATACACTCTATTAGTGGTTTAGCTGGCTTTAGAATTTTAGCACTAATTTTTCATCTAAATTAATGGGATACTAGCCTTTTTGGACTGACCCTCTAACATGGGGTTACCTAACCCCTGGGTTACAAACTGGTACCAGTCTGTGGCCTATTAGGAACAAACTGTACAGCAAGAGGTGAGTGTCAGGTGATAAGAAAAGCTTCATCTGTATTTACAGCCACTCCCCATTGCATGCATTACTGCCCAATCCCTGTCTCCTGTCAGATGAGCAGTGGCATTAGATTCTCACAGGAGTGAAAATCCTATTGTGAATTGTGCATGTGTGAGGGATCCGGGCTGCATGTTCCTTACTAGAATCTAATGCCTGATGATCTGAAGTGGAGCTGAAGTGGTGATGCTAGTGCTGGGGAATATTGAATAACATTAGCAAAGAGGTTTGACTGCACAGAGACCATAATAAATCAATCACTTGCAGACTCATCAAAGTCTGTTTTTATTTTATTTTATTTTATTTTATTTTATTTTATTTTTTTTGTGATAGAAAGAAAAAGAGGAGGGTATTTTCCATAGCATTTCACTGTGCCATAATCCTCTCGCCCCAACAATCCACTTAGCTCAGATTATAGGAGGGCACACTGTTCTTACCATGATTATGCTGTTCCAAGATCCAAATGCAGACCTTCCATGTGGCTTCAGCATCACATAGCAGTGCCCTGCCACCTGAGCTACTACGGCTGACCCCCACCCCTTTTTATTGCTTCGTATTCTTCTTTTATGGATACCATATATATCTCTCACCTTTCTGAGAAGAGCATTCTCACTTGCTCTCTGCATGGCCTCTTTTCTTTTTTTTTGGTCCCTTTCGCCTCTATCATTGATGTCTAGTGATTGATCCCAGGCTGTCAGATCAATTTTTAGAGTGAGGTACTGAACTATATAGCTGAGGTTTTCTAACTGATAGGTTTTACTGGTGGTTGGTCAGGAAGAGAACCAGCCATTTGCGGGTTGAATTACATTTCTAAGAATCTCATTTTTCTTTGCGGCTGCTTTGTTTTTGTTTTTCAAAGAGAAGACACCTCTGACTATTTATTGTGTATAGGCTACATGGAACAATGAGAGTTGAGGAGGGGAGGGATTGTTTTTCAGAATGTACACTTTTATCTAATCCTATTGTTTTCAATATGGCGTGCTGTTCTTTCTTGTGCTTTGTGTCCTCTATTCTGGTCACTCCTTTCGTTCAAACTCTTTAAAGATTACGCATCCTATCTGGCCATTTTTACAGACCGGTCAGCTTCTCCTCTGTTTGCAGCCTTATGAACACCCTCTGTGTCTGAGGATTCCACATTTTAACCTTATGGGGCTCTATAGTAGGAATCGGCTTATTTGTGCTTTCCCCAAGCATAGGCGCTTAGTGGTCTAATACATCAGGTTTACTATTTGTTGCTCTGCTTTCCAGCTTCTGAATATTTCTTGTCCTCTCTTATGTGTCATCATTATTACCATCCTTTTCATGGGATTTTAGAAAGGAGCAAATATATATGTATGTGCTTAACTAAGTTGAGAAATATATTCAGCTTGGATAATGGCTTCCAACTGGAGCATTTTGGTAGATTAGGGAGAATTTTGTGCTTGGAGTTCCCTGGTTTCTCTCATCTTTAGGTCTCACTTGTTCTGTGCTCTTTTACCTACAACTAGAGCAATGGTGTACATTGCCTTTTTCTTCGTGAATCAACCCCAGATGTTTCAGAGAGCTCTTTCTTGTTCTCTGTATTTACTTTATTCACTATGCAGTGAATAAAGGAAGGACATTCTAATTTAAATCTTCTTTTTAAATAAATAATTTCCAACTCTATTAAAGTATTTATTGTGAGCAGTAGAAGGAGCATAAATAAAAATCTCTGAAATTAAACAAATAACAGAATGTTCCCTTACTTATGATTGTAATCAAAACATGATGATCCCAATGCCTACGTAATATGGTATTACCTTAAATCCTTGGATTAGGCAGCAGATTTGTAGACTGCTGCCCAGTAACTTAATGACTGCAATAGTCTCTAAGTAAAGTTAAAAAGAAACTGATAAAAATGTATTCCTATATTTCTTGATGAATGAAGCATAATTGAAAATTAATTTAAATCCCCAAATAGGTATGTTTAGACAGTTACAGTGTTTTTTAATTCATCTTAGGTTGACTAGAAGTCCTTGCCCAGCTGATGAATGATATAAAGTTTATATGTGCATTTATAAAATAACTTGCTACTTTATTATGCTTCATTTTTATTTGCAAAGCACAGTATATATCATCACATAAAAGTTAGATCCTGAAAAGGGTTTGGGGTTTTAGCGATGTGTCCCATTATTTTTCTGTTCTCAATTCTCTACAAATATTTTTTTCCAAGGTAAATTTGATTTGCCCTCTCAATGTCCCTAACCAGAAGGGAACCACAGAAGAAAACATTGCTGAAGACATTCATTTCCATTGCTTGCGTAGAACTGATTCACTAAGAAAATAGGAAAAGGTTAAATGAAAAACATTCTAGGGAAGTTACAAACCATATAAGGTAATGGGTGAGCCACAACTGTGGGCGTAATTTTTTTTTTTTTCTTTTCTCTCTTTCAGCAGGGAGACACATCGCCTTTTCCTCCCACTGTCCCAGACTGTCTGCGGGCTGATGTCAGGGTTGCTTCTAATGAGAGCCAAAAATGTTCCTTCTATTTAGCAGACAAGACGATCACCCACGGCTTCCTCTACCCTCCTGGTTAGTAGAACTCTTTTTTAGAGCAGTAGCTTAGAAAGCCCTCCTCAGCTGGATGTGGGCATGTGTCTTAAACATATACTCTTCACCAAAACTACCTGCTTGGGCTAAACTAGCTGCCTCACAGGCTTCCAGTGGTTGTGGGCTGGCCAGAAACAGTACAACAGCTATAATAAAGACTAATAAATTTTGCAAAGGGAACCACATATCAGCTCTAATCTGGCCCAGATGTTTAGAAAGTTCAACAGGTTTAAGTTTAATTTTAAAACTGAAGATTCTTTGGAGAGGGACACAAACATCTAAAAAAAAAAAGTGTGTGTTTTTTTTTTTTTTTCCTGCATACTGCTCAAAATAAGGTCTGCATTGAGAATGCAGCTGTGCTTGCAGAAAAATCAGGCTGGAATTCTGGCCTATCATTCAGGCTGTGTGTCCAACAGGTTTTAAACTCTGGATTAAGCAGCCAATGACTAGTATTTTTTTTTTTTTTTGATTCGGCCTCTGTTTTTGTTTTTATTTATTTATTTGTTTATTTAGAAATAATTTTAGGAATATATAAAAGCAACTGTGATTTTTTTTTTTCTAAAAATCAGCTCTTATTGTTGTCCAGCAGGAAATGTCATTTTCATGAATTTATCCATGAGCTTTTCCGCAATTTCAGCTTCTGGAGTGGGTTTACTCTCTGAGAATATCATGCACCAACTCAACTATCTTTGGAGGGGGCTGGGTGATGCCTGCATTCTTGATGTCTTCTGCTAGAAAGTACTCAATATCTCTATGTTTGGACTGTTAATAAATTTACATTAGTATGTAATAGTCATAGCCTATCATATTTTCTCTTATAGTCAGATTTAATAAGGTTCATTTCTTTTACAGCAAACAATAAAACTTCTGATAGTCAATATGATGCTTTAATTACAAGTAATTTGGTCCCTATGTATGAAGAGTTCAAAAGTAAGTATGTTTTTAAATTATTATTTTAAAATTCCTAAATAACTACCTGAATTTCCAAACTAAAACACATTTTTTTGTTGCAATTCATTCCTGTTATTAAGATGAATTTTGTTCTGTTTTGAATATAGGCACAGAAAAGATCGCTGAGATGGTTTCTTTTCAACTTACATAAATTTCGGGTGACTTATTGCTAGAATTCTGATAATTTGTTTTTAACCCTTAATTTAATGTAAAGAGCTATTCACAAACTAAGTTTTACTGACAAACACCATAAGTGAATAAATGATAAGTGTTTGTTCCCAGAGTAATAACTAAAAAGGCAGCATGTGTGTTCTGGCCATTTTTTGTTTTAGAATTATCTATTTAACTTTATTTATCATTATTATTATTTTTAAAAATTTTGCTACAGGGCACATATGTTCACTAGAGATATAGAGAGAGAGGGAAAATGAGGAAGCAAGGTGCCAGGTCCAAGACTAGAACCATGGTCAACCATGTAGGAGTCCAGTAACTTAACCACAGTGCCATCGGTTGGCCCCAGTTCTGGCCATTTCTAACATTCATTATCACAAAGCGACTCAGTACTAAGGAGGGATTGGGGGACATATTTCACTATAATTTCAAGATTGCAACTAGAGCAACAAAAAGCTGTCATCAATGTGGCTGTTCATTATTTATTTATTTATTTATTTATTTATTTATTTATTTATTTGACATAGGGTGCATGCGCTTGCCAGGCAGACAGAGAGAGACAGAGACAGAAAGCGAGAAATCACCCCTCTAGGGGGGATGGCCACGCCGCAATTCCTTCTCCTCCATTCTCCTCTTGAGATCATGGGCACGCACGCACATGTGCCCGGAGTGAGTTTTAAGCCACTGGGTCCAGGATGTGAACCGTGTTTGACTATGTGGGAGTCCAGCGACATAGCCATTACACTAACTGCTGGTCCCTGTGGCTGTTTATTTTCGTTGCATGGATTATTCGTAGAATTATCCAGTCACCACTGACAATTATTGAAACTGAATTAGATGCTATTTAAATATATTTGGCTATAATATAAACTATTTCCATGTTCACTGAAGTTAGAATTGTTTCGTTTTGTGTTGTGTTTGTTTGTTTAGACAGAGTACCTCTATGTCCTGATACTCTTGCCAGACCTCTTGTGCAGCTGAGATTTTAGGTGCCCAGTTTTTAGAGTGGGCCAGGAATTGAACCAGAGCCTCCCACGTGGCCTCAGGCTGCTAAATAACAGTGACTACCAGTGCACATTACTGTAACTTGGCCATAGGTCGATATGTTAAAATATCTTATTCTTTTTAGAAATGTGGGACTACTTCCATAGTGTTCTTCTTTCAAAATATGCCATGGAAAGAAATGGAGTAAATGTGGTTAGTGGACCAGTATTTGATTATGACTATGATGGCCATTTTGATGCTCCGAATGAAATTACAGGGTAAGTAATCTGACTTTTCTATTTAGCAATAGGGTATCATGAAGGGAAATTGCAATCTTTTAAATAAAATCTTAGTATTCTAAATATTATGTAATACGTTTAAATACCATTATTATTGTTGACCATCTTCAATCTAATCTATCTAAATATTCAACATAAAAATTATCTGGCAAAATTAAATTAATGGGCTAAGAAAAATATTTCCAAAAATTGTATTTGGAAAATTTCTAAGCTAATTGGCAAAGATAAAGTAAAGCTTTAAAAAGGTCAAGGAGATAGGGAAGATTTATGCACTATCAATAAATAAAGAACCAGTCCTACAATAAATAAAAATAATCAAATAAATACTCAGGTAAATTTCACAAAAATAATGAATGATGCATAGAAGTATCTACCAAGAGATGATGTAGATAGATTTCATATACAAAACTAGTTCTGTTCAACTGTGCATCTCATTGGTAAGTCTGGGTCATGAAAGATTTCTAAGAATTAACCTCGAACATAGTACACAGGAAGAGAGACTTTAGAGATTGTTTCATCTATCATTTCTTTTTATTATCAAAATGCAGTAAGGACTAAATTTAAGAAATGTAGTGTCTAAATGTAGATTATGTAAAGCAGTTATTTCTGGGCCAGCCTGTGGCCACGTGGTTAGGCAACTGAATCCTATGTGGCCACCTGCAGGATTTGAGTACAGGATCCAGCAGCTTTAGAAACAAGCTGGGCACATGTACATGCCCAATATGCTGAAAGGAGAGAGAAACAGAGAAGGGATTGTGGCATGATCATCCCATGGAGGATTCTTTCTCACTTTCCCTCTCTCTCCTTCTGTCTCCCTCCTCTTGGTGAGTACACATAACCTCTCCAAAAAAAATTTTTTTTTCTATTTATACCTTCCAATAAAATGACATGAATGAATTTTTCATTTTGTTCACCTTCTTACTGCAGTGTTCATTGATTCTACTCTTGACCATTTAGTACTTCAAACACACACTGTGATTCTGTGATAGCACTTAACTGCATGCTAATTACTTTTCTAAACATTTACATATACTTCATTCAATCCACAACTCTACGTTAGGTTTCATTAGCCCCAAGTTAGAGATCAGGAAACTAAATCACAAAAGGTAGGCAACATCTAAATTCTACAACTATTAACTGGTGAAGTCAGAATATAACTCAGACAGTCTGGTTCCAAATCCATGTTTTAAATCATAATGACGTATTACTGTTTACCAGGTCATACTTCTTTTAATGGACTCACACTATCTTACTTTAATTTTGCCCTCAAAACTTTTATTTTTCAATTTTCCAGAGTGCATGCGCACTTACCATGGAGAGGCAGAGAAAGAGAGGGAAAGTGAAATGCACCCCACATAGGAGATGGTCACACCACAATCCCTTCTCCATTTCTTCTTCCAGTTGGGATTTTGGGCTTGTAAACCTACATGCTGGGTGTATTTTTCAAGCTACTGGGTTCAGATCTCAAATAAAAGCACTGTCACTTTACCTCTATATAGATTTGTTCCTGTGTCTATATTGTAATTTTGATAGTACAGGGTCACCCTCACATTAATGTTGAGGAAACTCAATAAGTCACAGAATATTATGGTACATGCAAGTCCCAATAGCTACCGAGAGTACACAACTAGAGTCGGAGTCTGGGCTCCTTCATTCTCAACTTTTGCTCTATTAGAAAATGTCACCATGGAGTATAAAGTCAGTAACACGAGGAAGCACAAGAGGCAGCGTGGCATGCTCTGCTCTCCTTTGTGTGCTAACACTTCCCCATAATGCTAGGATGACCAGGCTTGGACCTCTATTATAAATCTCTGTACTGGATGTTGAAGAAAAAAAAAACACATATTCTAATACTTTGTATTTTCTATTCATTCCTTCATTTATTGTATTTTTACCAACATTTCCTTATATATAGTTATATAAAAATATTTATAATCTTTAGAAGCAAAAGTATAATATCATCGAATCTTTCCAATTATGTTTTTAGGCATGTAAACAACACCAGTGTTCCCATCCCAACACACTACTTTGTGATGTTGACAAGTTGTAAAGACAGGAGCCACACACCTGACAACTGCCCTGGGTGGTTGGATGTCCTCCCCTTCATTATCCCTCATCGCTCGACCAATATAGAGAGCTGTCCTGTGAGTATGCTTCTGGGAGAGTTGTAGAACCTGAGAAAATGATTAGTCATTGCTCACTTGGCCTTTTATAAAGCAATTCCTACTGAAATATGTTGTAAAAGTGTCTCCTGGGTAGAGTTGTAAAAAAATGAACTTCTACTTAGATGATTGATTTCTATGTAATTACTATCAACTTAACTCTGTACCTACATACATGAACATATGTTTGTATATGGTATCTCATGTATTTTATCAATATGTTTTATTTGTATTTACTAATGATAGAAAGGTAATATTTTACTAATCTTTTTATTCTGGACATAAATCTTTTCTTTGCCAAAGTTAGTACTAAATTAATATTTTCTGACTGAATATGTAAGCATAAAAATTCATCAACTTCAAGTATAAGGTCTGAAATTTTACACACACAGACACTCACACTCCCACCCCACTTTTCCCACACATACGATAAGTTAATTCAAGTAACATCTTTTTTTAACATGATGTATTAGGCCACCTCAAGATTATCTTGGGGGACCAGCAGTTAGCGTAATGACTATGTCGCTGGACTCCCATGTAGTCGACCGCGGTTCGCGTCCTGGATCCGGTGGCTTAAAACTCACTCCGGGCGCGTGTTAGTGTGTGCCCAAGATCCCGAGAGGAGAATGGAGGAGAAGGGATTGTGGCGTGGCCATCCCCCCTGGGGGGTGATTTCTCGCTTTTTGTCTCTCTGTCTGTCTTGCGAGCGCACGCGCCCTATAGTGAAAACCTCTCCAAAAAAAAAGAAAAAGATTTTCTTGGACCAAAGAAAATTATTTATCAATAGTTACTTCAAATTGCATGTGAGTTCTTTATGGGGAAAACGGTGTTCTGGAAATTGGGTTTTACTGAATTCATTCAACCAATACTTTGAGTACTTACTAAGTGAACAGTACCATGATAGAGACTCTTTAGAATATAAAAGGAATGCATGTTTCTGTCCTCAAGGAATTCACATACAACTTTGACATATTAATGAGAATAGGCACATAAGTAGATCAGATAAGAATTCTTTTAAAAATTATTAAGTTAGTGGGACCAGCACATGGCATAATGGTTATGTTGCTGGACTCCCACATCATCCACTGTGGTTCTAGTCCCAGAACCTGTGGCTTAAAACTCATGGCAGGCATGTGTGTGTGCGTGCCCAAGATCCTGAGAGTATAATGGAGGAGAAAGGATTGCAGCATGACCATCCCTTCTGGGGAGATGATTTCTTGCTTTTTGTCTCTCCATGTCTCTCTGTTTCTCTGGTGAGCCCATGTGCACAATTGCAAACATCTCTCAAAAAATAAATAAAGTTAGGATTAATTGTCAAATTCTATTAAAAGGACTTAGTGTTTTGAATTAAAAGTACATTTTCTGAATGATCAGTAAAGGTCTGATAAAATGAGGTGAGAGTAGGTTTGGGCCATAAAGGATGGGCAAAATTTGAACATCTTGAGAAGGCTAGGAAGTCTTCCATGGAGGCATGAGGCATGGAAAGGATTTGGTAACTGATTAGATGCAAGAGCAAGGGAAAAAGGAAACTCAAAGATGAAACAGAGGTTTTAAGTGTAGTTAATTAGGAAAGAGAGTGGAAAGATAGGACTGAGAACTTCTGGCAGGTAGATAGGATAGTTGGCATTGACAAGTTTGGGCATTGACATGGAAATTTCCTTAGGCTGTTAGAGCCTGGAAATCAGAGCTTAGGTTCTAGGTCAGATTGGGATTCATCTGTGTTCTTTTAAGTTTCAATAACATGACTGACTATACCAACCTTTGTGGGAGGCACTTGCATATAAGGGCCCAATACAAGAGATAGGTGGCGAAAAAGCAGGACAGATATCTTAGTGTAGGATATCAGAGGAGAAATACTTCCTAGTAGGAAAGGTGGCACTTTATCTTAATTGGATAGCTAGGGTTTGATTCAGTCTTTCAGTGACCAAAGATGGAGGGCAAATGTTAGAGGCTGAAGACTGAGTCCCTCAGAGTATATGATAAGAAGAGTTTCTTGGGACCAGCGGTTAGCATAATGGCTATGTCACTGAACTCCCATGTAGCCGACCGTGGTTAGAGTCCCAGACTCAGTGGCTTAAACTCACACTGGGCACGTGTGTGTGCGTGCCCAAGATCCTGAGAGGAGAACGGAGGAGAAGGGATTGCAGCGTGGCCATCTCCTCTGGGGGGTGATTTCTTGCTTTCTATCTTTCTGTCTCTCTCTGTCTTTCTGGCAAGTGCATGTGCCCTATAGCAAAAACCTCTCAAAAAAAAAAAAAAAAAAAAAGAAGAGTTTCTAAACTAGAAGCTATCTGGAGATGTTGAGTTAAATCTCTTCCTACTTGTCCTGTTAGTATTTTATGTAGTTGAGACAAAGATCAGCCATCATCCTTCACTTCCTTGCCCATTTGTAGATAGTGATAACTGATGTGGTGCAGCATTCTCTACCATGGAATCAGGATGGAATAGTTCTCCCTCACAGAGGTTCTAGGTAGTCATTGTGGAGTGACTTTAATGAGGACACAAAGAAGAAAGTATTTGCTACCTCTGGTCTAAGCTCTTACTTCCACTCATTAGGGCTTTTGAAAATAAATCCTTGGGTCCAGCAGGTGGTGTGATAGTTAAGGTGTTGGTCTCCCACCAAGGTCCAAGTCCCAAACCTAGTGGCTTACTTTCTCACTTTCTCTCTCTCTCTCTGTTTCTCTATGGTCAAATTAAAAAAAAATAATGATAATGATGTTGAATAAAATAATTCTTTTTAAAAAAAGGAAAATAAATCTGAAGTAGCTTTTCTGTCACTGTCTTCCCTCTTCACTTGTGTGCACTGCAACCAACATAGCTTAAAATTTAGATTTTATTTTTTGATTCTTCACACCCTAAAAATTATAATGAATAATAGACTGTAGTTAAGCCTCTTTACAAGTTGACCTCAGTGACCTTGCAGACCATGTTTAGGTCAACTAGAGTCCTTGAAATGGCATGGCCACATCTCAAGTTGTGTCCCACCTCATCATTATTGTTTGTGTTCTCTCTCCTTCTTTTTCATGTGATAAAAATTCTACTTGTACTCCAATAAAGTGCAAATAGTATGAAGCCTTTCCCGATCACCTAAAGTAAAAGTGAGCCCCCCCAAATTAATAGGGCATCATCTCTATTGAATTGGACATTATGCAAGATGTTTTGGAATTTGCTGTATAGGAATAAGGATATGACTTCTATAAAGATAATTATAAAACATAATGTGATAATTATAAAACAAACTTACCCCAAGCTATGACTGTAAGAAGGATTGTGAAGTTAATTAGTTGAGGCTGTCAATTAAATATGGAGGAAAGGAGGAGGCGGGGTCAGAGGGAGTCAAAGTGACTGAAAATGTAGGCATGACTAACCAGGAAGTATATGAGATAAACAAGTGTTTTAGAAAGTATAAATTTTCTCTTGGTGGTCTTCACTTTGAGAGACTCATAGAATATTTAGAGGAGTATCTGAGAAATAGTACAAAACTTAAAAGAAGGGGTTTTGGACTTAGATAACACAGATTTAGTTAGTAGTTTGGCCTCTGGCTAAATAATGCCAGTTTCCTTGTCTGTTATGTCTAATAAGTATTAAAATATTTATTCCCCCACTATGAGGTTGTTATTGTAAGTATTAAATGGAATAATTTATATAAGACTCTAGGAGTTTCTATAAAGTGTAAGCAAATGGTGTTTTTCAAAGTTGCCAGGTTGGGACTCTATTTGCACAGTTGGGCATAGGGGATCCAGATTCCTTAACCACCCAGCCACTGGCTGGCCCGAAAAAATCATATTTTATCATGCAGTTATATTCTAAAGTCAATATAAAGTGAGATGAAATCCCCTAAGATCAAATCACTCATAAAGTGTAGTACATATACAAACTGTTCCTTGGTAAGTCCAAATAGCCAGTATTTCCACTAGCCTTGGAACGGGCCATTGTGTTTTAAATGCCTGATTGAATAGTTGGTATTTTAGTTCATTCTCTGCTGCTTAAAAATAGGATGCCAGAAATTGGGTGATTTACAAGAAAACGAGTTTATTTAGCTCACAGTTTGGAGGTCTCGGATCCACAGGCCACATTTGCTAAAGGCCTTGTTGTTGGAGGGAACTCTCTACTAAGTCCCAAGGCAGTGCAGAGCATCACATGTCAACAAGAGGACAGGAGCTTGTCTTCCTGGGTCGGTGTATCTGTCTCATACATTTCCCTTATAAACCCACCAGGAGTTAGTCATGAGCCCCATCCTTGTGACCTTAATCCTAATCATCTCTCAAAGGTCCCACCTCTTAATCTCATTGTTAGGTTAACCTCTTATTCTCATTGTTAGATTAAGTTTTATTCTTGTAGTCTCACCACAACCAAATTTCATATAAATTTTTGAAGACATATTCAAATCATAGCACTCATCTTGCTTTAATGATCATATTATATGAAATCTCTGTACTTTGAAACATTTTAATCAGTGTGTAGAAATACTCCCACTATAAGGTTTAAAAAAACTGAGATCAATGTAGGAATGGAAGATTCACAATTCTACCTCACACTTGATTTAGTGCATTAGAGTCAATTATTTTTTTGCTTCCCTTATTTTTTCCATTTTTCTTTCCTTTTCTTTCTTTCTCTCTCTCTTTTTAAAACTCAGCTTTGCATTGTTAAATTTCTGTTAGAGGGACCAGCAGTTAGCGTAATGGCTTTGTCGCTGGACTCCCACGTGGTCGACTGTGGTTCGAGTCTTGGACCCAGTGGCTTAAACTCACGCTAGGTGCGTGTGCGTGCGTGCCCAAGATCCCGAGAGGAGAATGGAGGAGAAGGGATTGCAGCGTGGCCATCCTCCCTGGGGGGTGATTTCTCGCTTTCTGTCTCTCCGTCTCTCTCTGTCTTTCTGGCGATACATGCACCCTATAGCAAGGATCTCTCCAAAAAAAAAAAAATTAAAATTCCTGTTAGATAAATTAAAATGTAGTTGTGAGTCTGAGTGTTTATCATTAATGTAAATTACTCAGCAGATACTGGAAAATGAAGACATGGAAACTGGAAGGGAAATTAAAACAGTAGATGTAGATGATATTAAATTGAGGAAATGAAATAAAATCTCCAAAGGAGAGAAAATAAAAAGAACAGATCCTAATATCAAATTGAGGAAAATGTCTGTATTTCCAGGATGGGAAGTAGTAGGATCAGTTAGGAACAGGGGATGTCACTACACAAGGAAGTGTTAATAGAGTGATGGATGACAAAGAAGGAATTTTCTGAAGCTTGGACAAATCAGCTAAGTCAAAGACCTGAAGAAACCCTATTGAGTCAGATTATCCTTTTTAAAATTTTTTTACTTTTTACTTTATTTTTTACCTTTAATTACTGTGTATCATTACAGCATACCAAATGAATTTTCACACTCTGAATACACTGTATATTGGTTTAGTCAAAGATAGTATTATACAGATTATTTTCAACAGATAATTTTCTATTTTTGTGTCCTTAAAATGTATTGTTTCTTTATTTTTCCAATTGATTCCCTCTCTTACCCTCCCCCATTTCTCACCCTCCTCCCACACTGTTGCTAGTCTATATTGCTCTCCATGCTTTTATACCTTCCAATATTTCAGTTTCTGTCACAGAGTGCTGACATTCAGTATGTATCAAGTGGGGACATACAGTGCTACTCTTTCATAGTCTGGCTTTCTTCACTTAGCAGTAAATCTTCCACATTTATCCTCTTTCTATCAAATGCCAGCATCTCACTGTTTTTTTTTTTTTTTTTTTTTTTGGAGAGATTTTCACTGTAGGGCGCGTGCGCTCGCCAGACAGACAGAGAGAGACATAGAGACAGAAAGTGAGAAATCACCCCCCAGGGGGGATGGTCACGCCGCAATCCCTTCTCCTCCATTCTCCTCTTGGGATCTTGGGCACGCACGCACACACGCCCGGCGTGAGTTTTAAGCCACTGGGTCCGGGACACGAACCGCGGTCGACTACGTGGGAGTCCAGCGACATAGCCCTTACGCTAACTGCTGGTTCCCCTCACTGGTTTTTTGACTGAGCAGTTCCCTTAGTGTATATGTGCCACACTTTTTCAATCCATTCATCTGTTCATTGATGTTCGGGTTGGTTCCATGTCTTAACAATTGTGAACAATGCTACAATGAACATGAATATGCAAGTGTTTTTCTGACTGAGTGTATTCCTATCCTTTGGGTAGATACCCAGGAGTGGAATTGCTGGATTATATGGTTAGGCCATCCTTGACATAGCAGCTGCACTGCTGTAGTAGCAGTGATACCTAGACTAGTGGATAAGGAGGGAGAATAAGAAAGGGGTTAGGAAATACTGCCACAGATATTGCCCCCTAAAACTGACAAAGTGGATTGTATTTTGGGGGTATAAGATACATATATAATAATGTTTACAATATAATATGTTATATATTTATGTACGTGTATAATCTATATAATATGCCATAAAGTACAGCACATAATTTTATGTATGCAGAAATGATTCTAAGGCTTTTTTAACATCAGGTAAGTCACTTGCACCAACCAATCTGGACAGAAGCCAGCTGTGGATAAATATTTAAATGTATTGTTTGAATATACTATATAAATATATTTACACTGTATAGATACATATATTATATATAATATTTGTATAAACATATATTATGCACTATATTATTATAAATGGTATAATCAAACCACCTATTGTATAAATAACCATATATAAATAACTATAAATTTAAATATAGCTCATAAAAATGAAATATATGCAAATATACTACTAATGTGGTACTAATGTACTAAATGTACTACACCTAGAGTTATGCACACCTGGTTCTGTACAGATGGGTTGGTGCAGGTGACTTACCTGGTATTACAAAGAGTCGGTATTATCTTTGCATTCATATAGTTATATGTTGTCCTTTATGCTCATTTAACTGCAGTTTTAAGAGGGAAGTATGCCAAGTGTTCAGTAAACATTCAACTGGATTAGTAATTAAGTCAGGAGAGAGAGAGTTATATATACCAAGTGGGAAGAACTTTATGAAAGAAGGGATCAGAACTATGAAATGGTGCTGAAATGTGAAATAGTAAAGGCAGGAAAAAAAGACTCTGAGTTAGATTCCCATGGAAAGAATAGTAGCTTGCCGGCAGACGCCGACACACCACATACTTCTTTTCTTTTTAAAAATTAATTAATTAATTAATTAATTAATTTTTAATATACATTCAGTGACATTGTTTAGCTTATGAAGTGAACATTTCAATATATGAACATTTCTCCCCAGTCCAGTTGATCAAAATATTTTCAACAGATTACACCACACCTCCCCATCCCGTCAATGCTCTGCCTCTTCTAAAAAATTAACCTTGTCCTGAATCTCACACAGAAAATGCTCCAGCGATTAGGACCAAAAAGCAATTTCCTCTTCCACTTACTTAGGTTGCCTATTTTAAGCCTGCCTTTTTAAAACAAAAGTAAATCATTGTCCTGAAGTCAAATCAGAGTAATTAAAACACACTCATATATTGCGTTGTCAGGAATGTCAGGACGTATTTTGCATAGAAAAACAGAAAAAAAAAATACATGATGAGTTTTCTGACAACCCAATAAATAAACTTTGAAACTTTCTTATATTTTTTAAATTTCACTAAAAATTAGCAATATTATATGAATATCAGAAAATTAATGAAGAACAAAGAATGTCACAAAAACCCATGGTTCTAAATTATTGACCTATCTTTTTTATTACATAGCGAAACCTTGGTAAAAGCTAAATGGCTAAGAAATATCTGAAAAGATACTGAATTACAATAATACCCAAGACAGTAAAACTTCAATAGGCACAAAACATTATTTCACATCTGTGGTTTGGCAAAGATATGGGGCAATTAAGATGATCTTCCATGACCTAGGAAGAGGTAAATTGGTTTAAACACTTTGAGAAGTGCTAGGTTTAATATCTTTAAAGTTAAAAATGAAGGTACTCTATGGCCTAACAATTTCATTTATATATCCTAGAATCTCATGCTCTTAAACAAAAGAAGCATATGGCAACTTATTAATTACAGTATTATTTGTAATATCTGATCAATGTGGTAATTTAAAAAATATTATGTTTAAATGAGAGAAGATCACAAACTACAACTGAAAGCAAATTATTTAACAAACTCTAGATATAACATTATGAATAGATTAAAAACATAATACTGAATGCAAAAGTAATTGGAGATTACCACTTATAATAACTTACATAAATTTGAAAATTAATAGACAATACTACATATGGTATATACACTACATGTTCATCTTTTATGTGCAATGAATGTTTTTTAAAAAGGATTAGATTCACACTGGCTCAATATTTAGACCTCAGCAGAGGATCACTTGGGACTTAACCTCATTGGCAATTTTTTAAAAATTTCATATCTGAAGTAAATATAAAATGGCACAATTTTATGACTGTCATGGTCTATGTTTGTCATAGTACACTTTGTACTGTTGGTTTTATTTAGATAAAAAACAAGATATAATGATCAAATTATGATTTAATTTATAAAATTTACAGGAAAAGCTTCTATTTCATTTATTTGTTTATTCATGGACACAATAATTGTATATATTTATGAGTTCTAGTGTGATATTTTGATACTTGTACACAATGTGTGATAATAAAATGAAGATATTTAGGATATCCATCACTTCAAATGTTTTATTATTTCCTTCTGTTGGGAACATTTAAAATCCCCTCTTTTAAGTATTTTTCAATATATAGTCAATTTTTAAAATTATTTAGTTATTTAATGTTATGTGTTATTATTTACTATTTAATTTGACCAGTGAGAGACAGAGAGAGAAAGGGATACTGAGAAAGCAAGGTGCCAGGTCTAGGACTTGAACCATGGTCAGCCATGTGGGAGTCAAGCACCTCAACCACCACGCCACCTGCCAGCCCCCCTGCAATGTATTATTGTTATTACTGTCACTTTATTGTGCTATGGAAAACTAGAACTTATTCCTCCTAACTGTATTTTCTACCTATTAACCAACCCCTCTCTATTCTCTCTGCTCTCTCTCCTTTCCAGCCTTTGGTAACTACAATTCTACTCTGAAAAAAAGACAAATCCTGAGTAGTAAAAAATATTCTTGTTAATAATAAATGATATCCTGTGAAAAACAGTCCTGTATTTCTTTCTTTCTTTCTTTTTCAGAAAGATAAACAAGAAGACCTTTGGATTGAAGAAAGATTTAAAGCACACATTGCCCGGGTCCGGGACGTAGAACTTCTTACTGGACTTGACTTTTTTCAGGAAAAAGTACAGCCTCTTTCTGAAATTTTGCAGCTAAAGACATATTTACCCACATTTGAAACCATTATTTAACTTGATATGTAAAATAATTTGGTAAAGTGTAATTTTTTTTGTTGTTGGCGAATCATAAAATAAAGTTTTCTATTTTTCCTTAAGTCCACTAAAAGCCATATATTATAAACTTCTCTCTTTCATTTCTGTGAATTATTTTAAAGTTACTTTTATTTTTGCACAGAGATTGTGCTATGTTTTACTTTTCTCGTTATTATTATTACTTCATTCATAATATCTGACTATGTTTTCTGCCAAACATTATCTAAACAAAAGGAAAAAAAAAGAGAAACAGGCTCGCCTGATTCAGTAGAAATCTAGTCAATTCTACATTGGTTTTGTCTTTAAACTTTTTATATATGGCAACTAGGCAATATTTATTAAAATTAAAGATGCACATGCCTTTCACTCAATAATTTTACATGTAAAAACTGTCCCAACAGATGTACTTTGCATGAATGTGTGAAGATATAATCTCTAATGGTAGCAAAGACCAGAAAACAATGTAAATGACAGATTAGGTAAATTATGAAATTTGTTTAAATAAACAATGGAATACTGTTCACCTCTGCAAGGAAAGAAGTATTAATAGAATTGTATCTTGAATGTACAGCTATCGTTAATGAAAAAGAAAGTGGTGGGACAGTGTGTATAATATGTTGTCACATTTCAGGGACTTTTTAGGGATCCTTTTATGTAAAGGGCCAGGTAGTGAATTTTTAGGCCATACAGTCTCTGTTACAACTACTCAACTTTTCTTTTGCATCAAGGAAGCAGCCATAGGTAATATGTAAATAAGAATGAGAATGGCTGTATTCGAACAGAACTTTATTTGCAAAAACAGACAGAGAACTGTATTTGACTTCAAAGCTGTAGTTGGTCAATCCCTGATTAATATAACAAATTCTGGTTGGGGAGGCAAGAATGATCGCAAGGAGGGCAAGAGAGCGAACGTTTTAGAGAAAGTTTTTATGTTGTACGTTTTGTACTGCCTCAAGTTTTCTTTTCTTTTTTTCTTTTTTTTTTTAAATAAAACTCTGCACACATATTTCTTTAATTTCTCAAAATGTAATTATGAACCAGAAAGATCCCAGTACTTACTCAAGGGACAATGCTGTTGTAAAATTTTTTGATTGTCAGATTGATGATGTTTCAGATTCTTCTCTGATGTGAAGATGAGTTCATCCAGGGACAGAGGCTTAGCTGATGATGAAAAATCTTGTGACTCAAGCTGCAAGGAAAATAAATTCTATTGTTTACTAATTCTACTAGGATCGCAATTGAATTGTGGTTATTAATTAGAACGAGATGAAATGTTAGCTTAGTGCCACGGGAGTTTTTTTACATGCTTTCTTCACTTGTAGAATTTAATTAAAATGTATGCAGTGCTAAATGTACAATACAGAGAAACTTCAAGACAAGACAAATAGGAAAGTATTTCCAGAGATAAGGCAATGATTTTTATACCTCATATATAGATGGAATCCCTTCAACCAATGTTCTCCTGTTCCACCATATTCTGTAAACTAAATAAGATCACTCAGAATTTAGATTAAAACATGGTTACAACCTTCAGCTGAGTTTAACTTTGGGTGCCCAAAGTACTGCATTTTTCTGAAAAATGCTAGATTGTTTTCTGCTACAAATCAAATGAGTGCTTGGTATAGAAATAAAAAGTTCCATCAGGGAATAATTACAGTACGGAGATAGTACAACGTTATTCATTTCTTTTGTATACTCATGATTCCATTAAATAGACGCTGTATGTGTAAAATCATTTGGAAGGATTGAATGCCAGTGATTTAATGGGTCAGGGAATTACAGGAGATTCGTGATTCCTACTTTATTGCTCTCAGGATGTACTCTATATTTTACAATGATCTTATTTTATTGTAAAAATCTGGAAATGTAAATTTAAAAGTTTGTTATTCAGAAAGAATATTAACTATTCAGAAGATTTTTGCAAGAATAGTACAGTCTTACTCTTCACTCAGCGTCATCAGTTGCAGTATCACTATGTATATTTATATGTATATCTTTCCCCCTACATTTCTGAGAGTCCATTGTAGTCATTACGTCCATTCCCCCCAATACTTCAGTGTGTATTTTCTAAGCTCAAGGACGTTTAGCACACAGTCAGGAAATTCAATGTTGATTCAATACTATGATTTACACTCCTATCAAATTTTTCTCATGTTTTCAAATATTTCCTTTATGGTATTTTCTTTTCTGATCCAGGATCTGAAACAGAACCATTCATTGCATTTAATTTCCGTGTTCCGTTGCTCTTTTGTAATATGCAACAGATCCTTAGCCTTTAACAAGTACTATTGATATTTTTAAAGCAGGCAAGTCATTTAGTTTGTAGGCTGTCCCTCAGCATGGGTTTGTCTGACATTCCTCATTATTGGGTTCACAGTGTGCGTTTTTGGCAGTAATATTACCCTAGTGATATTTGTCCTCAGTGCTTCATGTCTGGAAGCACTTGATGTTTGTGTCATTTCTGGTCAAATTTGAACACTCAGTTAGGTGGGCTTTCACCAGACTTCTCTTCTGTGAAAATAGTATTTTTTTCCTTTGTAATTTGTAAGTTCTTTGCGGACGAATACTTGACACCCTATGCCTATCCCACATGTCATTAAATTTTTACCCATTGGCTTTAGTGTGCACTAATAATCCTTCCAATTCACTTTTTCCTGTGATGGTTGGAGGGTGGTGATTTTTCTTCTACATTTTTTTTAGCCTTCTACTGTAAGTATAAATTTTCTCTTATTTATTTATTTATTTATTTTTAAATTCTCTCTTCTTTCTTTTGGTAGAGATGTTTGCCTTAGGATGTATGCACTCACTGGAGAGAGACAGAGACAGTGAGAGGGAAAGTGAGAAATCTTCCCCCAGGGGGATGGCCCTGCCGGAATTCCTTATCCTCCATTCTCCTCCCCAGATCTTGGGCATGCTCGTACACATGTCCAGCATGGGTTTCAAGCCACCAGGTCCAGGACTTGAACTGTGGTCAACCATGTGGGAGTCAAGAGACATAACCACTAGTCCATTTGATGGCCCGATATTCTTTTAATTTATTTATTATTTGTTGTCTTTGTAGACTCATGGCTCTTTTTTTATTCCAATGCATTAAAATACATCATAAACATTTATTTTGGTATTAGATTATCCGAGTTTTGCTCACAGGAGCTTTTTAAAAGAAAATAATTTATTTGATTTTATTTATTGTAATAATAATTATTTCTTAATTTGACCAGAGAAAGACAGAGAAAAGGAAAGTGAGAAAGCAAGCCACCAGGTCTGGGACTTGAACAGCAGTCAGCCGAGAGGGAGTCCAGCATCCTAACCATTATGTCATCTGCCAGCCACCACAGGAGCTCCTAATTTTTTCATGTGTCCTTTTGACCTATACCTATCACTTTTTGAGTAGTTTCTCATTTTCTAGTGTTTCAGGCTCATCTTGTACTGTCCCTCACTGACTCTGAAATTGATCATTTCTCTCAGGAGTCCTGGTTCCATTTAAGGGGCCCTCGAGCTTTCATTGCTTCTGGGATATCACTGCTTTGAGGCCCTTTCAGTTAACAAAAATAGAACCTATATGTACATCTGTCAATATCTCTGTATCTCCATCTCTGTTTATGTTCATAGCATGAAAAAGAATTAGTTCAATTATCACTCAGTACTGTATGATTTTTACTAACCCTTTTCCATTTTATAATTGTATTTCCCTTTTCCAACAATGAATGAGAAACTATTTCCCAAACCATCCATATATTTACTCATTTGCTCAGTCCTATAATACATAGAGGGTAGGAATTACTAACCAATACCCCAGAGAGAAACAATTCTGCTAAACAGAATCAAAGAAAAGTTGGGTCAGATTGATGGCATACCTTTAACACCTTGTGCAAGAGATATTGGATCTATCTAGAAGATTGCAGGTTCAGTTCCACAGTGGATGTGCACACTCAGGGTGCCTGCACCCATAATGCAGGCTGGGGAGGCTGGAGGTGAGGGAATCCCAGGAGGGGCCTCTTGAGGGTCCTTCTCTCTGTGTGTGTGTCTCAGTCTCAGGAAAGAAAGAAATTTTAAAAATATATATATTTCCAGTTTTTTGTGTCCCTAGGCTAGGAACTTGTAGTCAGAAAACTACATTAGAAAATTACTTGGATTCATTTAACCCCCTTCAATGAAGTTACGTCTTTCACTTGCAATATAGTATTTTTCACTTGTTTCTATTTATACTTCCTTAATTCTACTCTCTAGCCTGTTGAGTCTCATTTCATTTTTTCAGGTATGGAAGATATTTACATGGTTTCAAGACCCAAAATTAGATGAAAGAGGGGCATTCAGAAGCATTCTCTTCACTTCCTTCCAATGCTTTCCCATCTACCCTGCATATAAATATACAGATAAAAATATTATGTGTACACAGTTTTGTATTGTCGGAAGTGGTTCTTCGGAACAAATCCCTAGAAGTGAATAAATGTAGACAGTGTAGTTTTATTTATTCAGAATAAAAGTTCTATATTGGTACTACATTAATTCTTACATTCATATATTCAAAATTTGAATTCACTGAGGTATAGTTCTTTCCTACTAAAAATGGAATTTATTTTTACTAACTATAAGAGTAATACACATTTTTTGTAAGACTAAACTATATATATGTATATTACTATATCATATACATATGCAAGTATTTATGTAAATAAACCCCACTGATTCATGGCTCCCAGACGTTGCTCTCCTTACAAATATATTGTTTGCATATGGAATTTAGGAAATGTCCATATTACTTTGGTTCAGATTCAAATTTGTTTTCAAGGGAATTTCAGGTTTTTCAAGGAAATACTTGTGTTTGGGGATTTAGAAAACCCTTTCTACCAGAAAAGATAACTTACTGGAAGTAAAAAAGTGATTACTTAGGGCCAGCAGATGGTGTAGCAGTTCCATTGCTGAACTCCCACATGGCCAACTGTGGCTTGAGTCCTGAACCTGGTGGCTTGAAATTCAGGCCTGGTGCTATGCATGCCTGCCCAAAATCCTGGGAGGAGAATGGAGGA